TACACATACACATCAATTTTTTAATGATGGAGCAACAACAGAGAATGCAGAGGTTGGATGTGAAAACAAACCTAGAGCCATTCATAAGGGTCACTGTGTTTAACGAGAAGAACAGTTCCAGGTGCAAGGCCACACCACAGAAATTTCCCTTCCAAACACACTTCTCTGTAAAGGCACCACAGACAGCAAGGACAAGCCAGGGGTGGCGGTGCACACCTTTGCTCCCAGCACTCCTGAGGCAGGTGGATCTCTGTGAGTTCAGGACCAGCCTGCCCTCCTTAGTGACTTCCAGGACAGCCAGAGCTATGTAGAGAGAAACTGACTCAAAAAGAGGAAAAGAAAACAACAAAATGGCACAGGTCACCTAACTGTCACTTATCTGAAAAGCTGGAGTCCAATGGGAAGAAGTACCTTCATGAGATATCTTGAGATGGGACCCACACTTAAACAGGCAACTCATTTACTTCTCATAAACAGCCCTTCTGTCATCTGAAGATAGGCGCATACAAGGTTTGGGAAAGCCTGCGTTCTGACTCAGCCCCTCCCCTGAGGCCAGGAGTGGGAGTTTTCACTTACAGCATCACAGTAGTACTCCAACAGTTAAGTGTGCAGCATCTACAATGCAGAGCTTCAGACCAGGGATGCTCAACCTAAACAGGCAAGAGAAAAGCACCCGAGACCATTCCCCTTACCTCCTTCTGCCCTGACTTCTCCATCCGGCTCTCCTGAAGGAGCTTCCACTATGACAGCATGATGCCCTTGGTCTTTTCTGGTAACCAGCCCAGGTGGGAAGACAATTTTCTTCCCTTTCCTTGAGGCCGTGGCCTCGAGTCTCTCTTTATCGATGTGTATAGTCAGGGAATGAGAAGACTCCAAGGAAGGAAGGGTGATTTCCTGAGAGATGGCTACATCAACAGCCTGCAAAACCGGTAAGTTTCCATGCTGGGTGAGCATCTTAGGGTGTAGAGACGGATCCTCCACGCTGAGCTGATTCTCTATGTCACGAGTGGAGTCCACCTCAGGGCACACTGCACTCTCATGATGCTGGCCCCAGGACAGTGACTCTGGCCCAAAGTCTTTAAGCTGCACTGATTCCGGCTTCACAGCTGACTCTAAGTCTAACTCATCTCCTTCCTGGTCATCCTGCTGGTGCACAGACTCTGTCACTGTAGCTCTTCTCTTTTTACAGGACAACATTGTACAAGTCCCACTTCTGGTCCATCCTAAAAGGATACAGGGCAAGCCTTGGTCACCTCAGTAGTGGTAACAGTAATAACAGAGTGGGAGTGTGGGGTGTGGGGGGGGGGGTAAACTCCTTCAATCCCAGCACTGAGGAAAAGGAGGAGGCCTATCTGTGACTTCAAGGACAGCCTGGTCTACAGAGCTAGTTCCAGGACAGGCTTCAAACCCTGTGGTGGGGTGGGGGAGTAGCAGTAATAACATTTGATCAGTTTTCATCTCATGATCCCCAAGCTCAATCATCCACGTAGGATTTGACACCAAATGCCTAGGACTTTTAGCACAGGATGAGACCCTACCTCAAATTAAATTCCATACTGAATGTTATGGTACCTTGACTAAGTGTTACCTTAATCTCATAAGTTTCTGCTACCTCAGGCTTCCTGAGATGGTACAGACCTCTCTTCCCAGCCTAGGAAAACAGGCAGGTGCATCTCTGTGACTTCACAGCATAACTGGTCCACACAATAAGTTCTAGGCCAGCCTGGAACTGCCACTTGCACTCACATCCAAATGACAACAGACAAGTAATCCAAAATTTTTAAAGTAACTCTTACAACATCACATTTCACTTTTGTAATCTCTGCTCCTTCATTCTCAAAGGCTAGGATATGTACTCAGTTGAGAAAGGGGAATCCTTAACTGCTGTCTCCAGAATCCAGCACGATGTGGATATGTAGGCAGTCACTGAGAGAGGAACTAATGAAAGTGGGCTTGAACAATGCTGCATTTGGACCAAGCACTGAGCGCTTACATAGGGACTGGAGGGTGACTTCTAGCTTGCTATCTAACTCGGGAAGATTTCAAACTTGTGATCCTGTAGCCTCCGCGGTGTTTATACTGAATTCCATTTTATGAATTAGGAACCCAAAGCCTTTTATGCATGTAAGGCAAGCACTCCAGCACCTGAGTACATCCCCGGCCTCTGGCTGCACCCTTCTTGACAAAAACACTTTGATAACGAGGTCCAAGAACAGAGAGTCACCGACAACCTTCAAGTCTGAAAGACCGCTCAAACGGTACTAGAGGAAACTTACTGCTGGCACGCTTAAAAACAAAGTTCCCTCCGACTCCAGGGTTTGATCTATAAAGCTAAGCTTAAGCCTCCGCAATTCCCGTTCTCTAGCCCGGTAAGGGAGGCCCTCACCGTAACAACCCAGGTTCTTGTCTCGGTAAAGCTTAATAACCTAGAGAAGATCCGTGGATCCTGTCATGGAGGGTATGAGTGAGGAGGGGAGTGGGAATCACCTAGGCGATTCCTTTATTTCACAGATGACTTGACGGGGTTCAGGGAGGGGGACCGCAGAAAGAGTGCGGGGAGAGGGGAGCAGCCAGGCGCTGCTCTGGCGAAACTGTGCGGGGATCGCGCCAAGGGCTTCGAACAACAGCATCTGTAAGAGTCCGCTCCTTGGAGACCAGGAGAGGTCAACCAAGGGAATGAACGCCAATCCGCCAGCCGCACTGCACCCCTGGGGGGTTGGCTGCGGGAAGAAATTCCAGAGGGGTCCTAGCTGCGCTCTCCTCGGCGCTCAACACTGGCCCAAGCCCGCACCACCATTCACACCCCGGCTACCCAACCCCTTCACGCATCGCGCACCCAGCCTCGGAGCAGACGCCCCTCATCCTGGGCCGCCACCGCCCCGGAGTCCCACGTCTAACGGGCCTCTTCCCGCCCCACCGCACACAACCAAGTACCCTCGGACGCCGGCCTGATCCCGCGGAAACCCCGCTTCGGCACCACCGGAAGTAAGGCAACGACACTGCCTGACGTGCGCGCCCCCGAGTCGCGTACACTGGACGTCAAGGAGCATGCGCGCAGCGATAAGCGCCATCTTCCTTTAGGGCCTCCTGAAGCCACAGGGCTAAGACGTCAGTTAAGGGAAAAAGGAACAGTGCTTTCCAACAGATGGATGGCTGGTAAACAGATGATGATAAGTAGGCAGGCAGGCAGGTAGGTAATACACGCTTAGCTTGGTAAAGCGTTTACCTTGAATGCTGGAAACTCTCGAGTTTGAATCCCAAAGCTAAATAAACCGAGTTTGGTGATGCACGCCTCTAATGGCAGCACTTCGGGCGTGGGAACAGAACGATCAAGACTTCGAAGCCATTCTCAACACAAATCCCGCTGTCTTGCCTATAAATAAATACTTGAAAGGCACTTCCCTGCCCACGCCTTTAATCCCAGCACTCAGGAGGAAGATGCATGCACATCTCAAGAGTGCTGGGCCTGCCGGGCTGTGGTGGTGCACACCTTTATTCCCAGCACTAGGGAGGCAGAGGCAGGAGAATCTTTATGAGTTCGAGACCAGCCTGGTCTATAAGAGCTAGTTTCAGGACAGTCTCCAAAGCCACAGAGACACCCTGTCTCAAAAGCGAGAGAGAGAGAGAGAGAGAGAGAGAGAGAGAGAGAGAGAGAGAGAGAGAGAGAGAGAGAGAGACGGAGAGAGCAGCCTGGTCTACAGGGGAAGTTGAGGACAAAGAGGAATATGCAGATAAACCCTGTCTCAATAGAGAACTGACCGGAGGGAGGAAGAGAAAAAAGAAAGAAAGACACTTCCTAGCTTTCTCTAACTAAACATCCAACTCAAAACTGGGGGTTGGGAATCCATAGTTTAAGTTGACAACTAATCACCCTATCCACAAAAAAACCTGGAATATAGAAAGAAGAGGAGAATTCCTAAAAGTCAGAAAGATGCTCTAGACACAAAAACCAAAGGCAGTCTAATAGCAGTTATCACACCTACAAAATATTATTCATTGTGCAAAATATTCTCACATTGCCTCTAGGTGATTTCATCTCCTGAGAATTCCTGTGGGCCAATGGATATTATTATCACTTTTTTCTTTATTAGAAACAACCTTGTTTTCCATGTCAATCCAATTCCCTCTCCCTGCCCTCCTCTGCTGCCTCCCACCTACCCCCATCCCATCCCCTTCGTGCTCCCCAGGGAGGGTGAGACCTTCCATGGGGGATCTTCAAAGTCTGTCATATCATTTGGAGCAGGGCCTAGGCTCTCCCCGTGTGTCTAGGCTGAGAGAGTATCCCTCTATGTGGAATGGGTTCCCAAAGTCCATTCTTTTTTTTTTTTTTTTTTGTTTATTGAGACAGGGTTTCTCTGTGGCTTTGGAGACTGTCCTGGAACTCACTCTGTAGACCAGGCCGGCCTCGAACTCACAGAGATCCTCCTGCCTCTGCCTCCCAAGTGTTGGGATTAAAGGCATGAGCTACCAATGCCCGGCTCCCAAAGTCCATTCTTACACTTGGGATAAATACTGATCCACTACCAGAGGCCTCGTTCAGGGGGTCTGGTTCAGTCCTATGCTGGTTTCCCAATTATCAGTCTGGGGTCCATGAGCTCCCCCTTGCTCAGGTCAGCTGTTTCTGTGGGTTCCTGCAGTCTGGTCTTGACCCCTTTGTTCATCACTCGTCCCTCTCTGCAACTGGATTCCAGGAGTTTGGCTCAGTGTTTAGCTGTGGGTGTGGCTTCTGCTTCCATCAGCTACTGGATGAACGATTGCACTTCACTCTTTTTTCTTTCTTTTTTTTTTTTTTTTCAGTTGACTGATTCTGGCCCTGCTGAGTAGAGGAGCTCACGAAAGTACCCAGATATCATTAGAAGTCAGGTATCTGGTATTGGGACCCCAGATTCTCATGCATTGACCCAGTACACAGTAAAGTGCCTCGTGTTTGGGGGATATACGTGGTTTTTTTGTTTTGTTTTATTGCTTTTGTTTGTTTTTATTTTGGCTTTGTTTAGATTTATTTGGGTTTTTGCCGAGTGCTGGGATTGAAAGCAAACCGCCCAGTGGATGTTAGGTCTTTTGTTATTGTTGTGCTACTTTGAGACAGGATGCTGCTATAAGCCCCAGACTCAGCATCAAACTGCTTCTGCCCAGGATTGATCTTTAATCGGCCTTTGAAGTTTAGTTGACATAATTGCCTTTATTGTTTCAGAGATGCACATAACAATAACAATCTATAGTGAAACAATAGAATTTTGTTCTTCACAACTTCTGCAATTCAGTAGGTTCGGCTTCCATCTGTATAAACCCGGGGAACTAGAGTCACAGCTGCAGAAGACGCTAAAGCGATCGTCTTCTTGCCTTTCTGTATTTGGAGAATTAGCCAAGGCTGCCCTTGACTCTCCTACCTCACCCACTCGAGTGCTACAGTCACGGGAATATGCGACTGAAGAAGCACAACACCTACACTTCTTACTGGGCTTTGAAATTCAAGCCCCAACGCCCACAGCCTGTGAGTGGGCGGAGCCTCATCCTGAGGAAAACTCGGCGGTGGGAGGGGTCTCCTCTGGAAGAGTTTCCGGAGCCTTTCGGGCAGAGGCGGAGTCTTCTGCCGAGGGCCCTTCGGAAAGAGGCGGAGCTTAACTCGCATCAGGACCAGTCCGACTGCACCTGCATCCTTAGCTCAGAGCATCCCAGGAGCATCTAAGAGGAAAGCGCAGCTAGCGACCAGGGATCCGACTGTCGCAGGGACAGTCTGCCAGGCACCCCCCCTCCCCTGATCTGGAGGTCTACAGCTGCGGCCTCGGTACTGACCGAGATTCCCAAAGTTGTCTGACCTCTGCAAAAGTGTGGCTACCAACAGCCTCTGGTTACAACATGGCTGAGATCACAAATATACGCCCCAGCTTCGGTAAGTAGAGTCTGACAAACTAATTTTGAGGCCATCGGTGCCGGCGCAAAGCCAGGTAGCTGAGGAACGGGCCGGGAGTTAAGTCCAGCTGGGAGCCTCTAATTGCCTGCCAGCCCTGCTGGAATAGGGCCTGAGGTGGTGAGTGACTCAGAAGGCAGGCAGTGGACAGCGCCTGGGTTTCAGCTTTGGGCTGCAGGGGTGGGAAGGCCACAGTGCCTCCGAGGGTAGGCAAGTCTGGGATGCTAAAACCTTGGCCGTAAACCCTTGGTGAGGCACTGTCAGCACGGCTGGAGGTGAGAAATGGCTAGCATGCTGGAGGATGTGAACCCCTCCTTCTGGAGGAAGAGAGGTGGGGTAGGCCGAGCCCTCCCTCTTGGGGCACGCAGGGCGGTGCCCCTTCCTCCCCCCTCCTACTTCTGAGGGCTGCAGGAGAGGGAAGCGGCAAGGGGGATGGGGCCTCAAGATGGCAGCGTGGAGACTATGGGCTGTGTGGCTGGCATCCAAGGGAGGCGGAGGCCTCCAAGGAAAGAACGGTGCAGGGGTGGGGAGCAAAAGGGAAGCCGCTCCTTAAGCCGGTCAGAGGGTTGCTAGGGCTGGGGTAAAACGCTCGCCGTGCAAGCTTCCTTCTGCACAGTAATGGTGAGGTCCTTCCCGGTGTTACCAAATGGCGCTTGGCGCCGCCGGGTGGAGAGATGACGTGATGTCTATTTCTGAGACTCCTGGCAGTGCCTAGATGCTCCTTCTGGAGTATTTGTTGCCTGCTTTTCTGGTCTGACTTTTCAAAAAAGGGGGACTCAGCAGAGCTGGTCCAGGCGGAGGCAGCATTCCTGGCTCTTATATACTGAATTTTCTTTAGTCTTAGCATGTCTTCCAGTGTAAGTATTATTAAGTGCACTCACCAGACCAGGAGAATGAACCTTGAAATACAATAAAGTCCAAATGAACTAGGCATGGTAGCACTAGGGTTTCAACCAGTGTCTGACTGCCGACCTACCTAGTCATTCTGATTCTGCTGTAGGACATTGGTCTATTTAGAGTGAACGGCTGTGTTTTGGCATACACTCAGTCAGTAATGAGGTCTGAGACTGAAGGAATAGCTCAGAGGAAGAATGTACACCTGACTGGTGCAAAGGTTCTTGGCAGGACCACCAGCCCTGAAAAGCAAATGCAACACTGGCTTGGGGATGCGTGCATGCCCAGCCTAGGAGATCCAGTTCAAAGCCAGCTTAGCGCCACTTCCTGAGTTCTAAGCCAGACAGTGCCACATAATGAGGAATGAGGCTGGTCTCTAGAAACAAGGCATCCAGGAATGGTGGCACAAGGCACTTTTTCCCAGCGCTTGGGAGACTGGGGAAGAATTGTCATGAGTTCAAAGTAAGCCTGGGCTAGAGAGGGAAACCTTGCCTTAAAAAAATAAAACAAGACCGGGTGTTGGTGGCACACGCCTTTAATTCCAGTACTTGGGGGCAGAGGCAGGCGGATCTCTGGGTGTTGCAGACCAGCCTGGTCAAAAGAGCTAATTCCAGGACAGCCTCCAAAGCCACAGAAAAAAACCTGTCTTGAAAAACCAAAATAAATAAATAAATAAAAATAAAACAAGCTGGGTGGTGGTGGTGCACCTCTTTAATCCCAGCACTCGGGAGGCAGAGACAGGCAGAGCTCTATGAGTTCCAAGCCAGCCTGGTCTGCTGACTGAGTTCCAAGAGAACCTCCAAAGCTACAGAGAATCCCTGTTTCGAAAAACCCAAATAAATAAATAAAACAAAATAATAAAAGATCCAGATATGACACCCTGACTTCTAACTTTAGATCCTACATAAAGATGAAAGGAGAGAAAAGACTCCACAAAGTTGTCTTTTACCTCCACACAAACACTGTTGTCATGTCACATACAAACATACACATACCATGTGCACATAAAGTAATTTGTTTTAATTTTAAAAACAAAGAATTCAAAGCCAGTTTGAGGATAGCCTGGGTTACAAGAAACTGTCTCAAAAAGAGTCAAACAACAAAATAAAAATGCCCAGGGGGCTAAAGAGTTAGATAAGCAGTTACGAGCACTTTTGCTCTTTCAGGGAACTCAGGTTTAATTCCCAGCATCCACAGGCAGGTTCACAACTATTATAAATCAAGTCCTAAGAAATCCAGTGCCCCTTCTGAGTTTCACAGGCATCAGGCCCACACATTGTACAATGCATACATGCAAGCAAATCACTCATGCATAAATAAGAATGAAATGAAATTTAAAATATCCTTAAAGAAAAAAATTTAACATTTAGGGAGAGCTGTGTGCCAGTAAATCTACCCAGAACCCTAGGATTTCTGTTGGTTATTGTAAAATGTTCAAAGATGGTTCCGTGTGTTCTAAGTCAAACTTGGTATTGTATAGGATATTTTGGCCACAATCTCAGAAGTTGTTTACGTTGATTTGCTAGAAGGAGATACTGAATGCCATGCCCGGTTCAAAACTCCTGATGATGCTCAGGCAGTAATGAATGCACAGACTGAAATTAGAAAGAAGCACTGTTGGAACCTCGAGGTCCTTTCGGGTGATCATGAACAGAGGTACTGGCAGAAGATTTTGGTAGATAGACAGGCCAAACTTAATCAACCTCGGGAAAAGAAAAGAGGCACGGAGAAGTTAATCACCAAAGCTGAGAAGATTAGACTGGCCAAGACTCAGCAAGCCAGTCAGCACATTCGGTTCTCTGAGTATGATTGAGAAGGACTGCAGCTCCCTTTGGGTTCCCTTGCTGGAGTGTTCTTAGAATGCTAGGACTGTGTGATTGATTGTGCTGCTGGGATCTACATCTAAAAAAAAAATACCTTTGTTCCTTGATGTGTAAATAAGACTTTTTTAGAGACAAATACATTATGTCACAGGGTTTTTCTAAAATAAAGTTCTTGTTGAAATTATGCAAAAAAAAATTTAACATTTAAAAAAAATCTGTTCTGAGCCAAGGCTAAAGGAATTGGGACTATCTCGTGTGTGTCTCCAGATACCTAAACATTGCCTCCTCCAAAGAAAACTCTTTCATATGTTACAAAGTACTTTAAACACTGCCAATTGACAGAGGGCATACCAGGCCAACACTGAATTATCCATGGCCTTGAAACACAAAAAGGAACCAATTGGGATCACTATAATTTACAGCAACTTCATTGATTGAATCATTCAAATACTCTGTGGGTTGGGGGAAGGGGACCACCTCAGGTGTCAGCCCTCACCTTTCAACTGTGTGAAACAGGGTCTTGTAGTTTTTGTTTTTTGAGACAAGGCCTCAACGTGTAGCCCCAGCTGTCTTTAACTAAGTAGACGAGGCTGGCCTCAACCTCACAGACAGTATCTGCCTTTGCCTCTTGAGTGTTCAGATTAAAGGTGTTCACCATCATACCCAGCTATTTGTTTTCTTCCTTTTTTATTCTGTCTTCCATTCTGTTTTTTTGTTTTGTTTTGTTTTGTTTTTTGAGACATTATCTCTCTATTTAATTATAGGTGACTTGAAACTCGCTCTGTAGAACAGGATGGCCTGAAACTCAAAGAGATCCTTCTGCCTCTGCCTCCAGAGTGCTGGGTTTAAAGGAGGTTACTAATTACCACAGCCAGCCCTCCTTTTTTATTTTTCTACTGTGTATGGCAGGCTAGCTGACCTATGAGCATCGGGAGATAGCTATCTTTCCATAGGATTGCTAGAAACACAGATACCACCAGCAAAGTCCAGCAATGGAGGCAAGCATCCTATCAACTGAGCTCCATCTCTGCCTCCTGAGCGCCACCATGCCTGCCTTATATAGTGACTTTACACAAGCACATTGGTGTAAGAAGAAGGAGACTGATATGGTCAGTGAAGATAAGACTGGGTTACGAAGAGTGGGTGCTGAGGGAGGGGAAAGTTGTGCTTTTACTTTATCTTCCAGACAGGGTCTCTCTCTATATAGCCGTGACTGTCTTGGAACCCTCTCTTGACCAGGCTAGTCTGGAACTCAGAGAACCAATGGCCTTTTCTTCCCGAGTACTGGGATTAAAGGCTTGTGCACCATTGCCCAGCTGTGCTTTTACATTAATAGTTCTCTACCTTTCTAATGCTGTGACCCTGAATGTAGCTTCTCATGTTGTAGTGACCTCCAATCATAAAATTATTTGATGTTACTTTATACCTATCATTTTTATACTATTCTGAATGGTAATGTAAATATATGATATGTAGGATGTATATTCATGAGTATAAATTCAGCATAATTAAAGCAAAGTGATTAGTCACAAAAATATGTAATTATATTTTGTAAAATATTTGTTGCTGATTACAAATAAATGTATTATTTTCCTGACTTATGGTGTAGCATTGGTAACAAGTCTTATAATAACAACAGTAAACTACATTGGTACTTTTTTAAAAAGGTTTATTATGTATACAGTGTTCTGTCTGCATGTGTCCCTGCAGGCCAGAAGGGGGCACCAGATCTCATTACAGATGTGGTTGCTGGGAATTGAACTCAGGACCTCTGGAAGACCAGTTAGTGTTGTTAACCAGTGAGTCATCTCTCCAGTTCATACAAATGAATACAAAGCCAACTTGAGTGCAAAGGTTTCGATCCCCTCCTTCTGAAATTCTTGGGGCAGTCTTTGCAGAAGCATGAAGATTATCTTCTACAGCCAGGCTGCCCCTTTATTAGACTTCATAATCAACTTTGGAACACCATCCCAAAGTCTCAGACAGAATATGATATGACTGCAAATCCTTGACCCAGAATTTTGTAACTGGAACGTATAGAACTCAGTTCTCACTGCATCACTGCTGCTAAGTCCAATGAATGCCTCTTGTGCTGTGGCAAGAACATTTTCTTTTCTTTTCTTTTCTTTTTTTTTTTTTTTTTTTGGGTTTTTCGAGACAGGGTTTCTCTGTGGCTTTGGAGGCGGCAAGAACATTTTCAACTTTGCCTGTGAATGGGTTTTCGGCGAGTGTAAATATAGTGTCAGGAATATATGGGAAATTCAATGAAACTTTGTCTGCAAGTATGTGCACTAATTCTTTCACAGAAATTATCACTGTAATCCTTTTTTTAGTTCAGTGTCATGTAGGCAATATGTAAATTTTATTTCCACCTGCCCCCTTTTCTTTTTAGAAAAATAAGGCATGTTGCATTGGACCTTGCAGTGATAAATTTTTCTCATTCAAAATGACAAAGATGGTAACCAATTAAGCTACTTTCTGTTTTCACTGAAAAGTGCTTTGAACTGTGGCCTTGCTTTCTGATTTAAAAAATATTTTGAAGCCAGGCGGTGGTGGTGCACGCCTTTAATCCAAGCACTCGGGAGGCAGACGCAGGCGGATCTCTGTGAGTTCGAGGCCGGGCTGGACCGATAGCCTCCAAAAACAATACAGAGAAACCCTATCTCATAAAAACCAAAAAAAATTTTTTTGAGTTCATCAGGAAGCTCAAAAACACATTTTAGCTGGGCAGTTGTGGCACAAACCTTTAATCCCAGTGCTCAGGAAACAAGAGGCTGATGGATCTCTATGAGTTTCAGGCTACCCTGGTCTACAATGTGAATTCCAGGACAACCAGGGTTATATACCTTGTCTCTGGGAAAAACAAACCAAAGAGTGAAAACCACATTTTAAAACCTTTCCTCTCAGCCGGGCGTTGGTGGCGCACGCCTTTCATCCCAGCACTCAGGAGGCAGAGGCAGGCGGATCTCTGTGAGTTCCAGACCAGCCTGGACTACCAAGCGAGTTCCAGGACAGCCTCCAAAGCCACAGAGAAACCCTGTCTCGAAAAACCAAAAAAAAAAAAAAAAAAAAAAAAACCTTTCCTCTCAAAAAAACCCATCTCAATTCAGTGTCAAACGGCAGAGCTTTGGTCATTGCATCCAACTCATTATGACACAGTTGTGAAACCAGTGACTATTTAAAGTGCTTGCCTTTACAAAACTGACAATTTTTAAAGCTTTTCATTACTTCCTGTAACCCCTTTTTTTTGGGGGGGGGAGGGCGGTTCAAGACAGGATTTCTCTGTATAACAGCCCTGGCTGTCCCAGAACTCACCTTGTGGAATAGGCTGTCCTTGAACTCAGAGATCTGCCTGCCTCTGCGTCTGGAAAACGGGGATTAAAGGCATGCGCCACCACCACCTGGCATTTCTTATAACTCTTATGGCAGCATCTTTCACTGCTAATACTTGCTGTTGAGCCGGGCGTTGGTGGCACACGCCTTTCATCCCAGCACTCGGGAGGCAGAGGCAGGTGGATCTCTGTGAGTTCGAGACCAGCCTGGACTACCAAGCAAGTTCCAGGACAGCCTCCAAAGCCACAGAGAAACCCTGTCTCGAAAAACCAAAAAAAAAAAAAAAAAAAAAAAATACTTGCTGTTGAATCATATGGTGACTTCTGATTCAGTACCAAAAGTTGAAATCCAGATGACTATCATAGGATAGCTGGAGCACTATCTGTACAAACACCACAAACTTTTCCCCAAGAGATCTTATGTTCCCTTAGAAATGAACCAACTATGTCAAATACATCAATCACAGTAGTTATTTCAAGAGGCGTGAAGAAAAGAAACTTATCTTTTTTTTTTTAAAAAAGATTTATTTATTTACTACATATACAGTGGTCTGCCAGAAGAGGGCACCAGATTGAATTTTACCATGCGGTTGCTGGGAATTGAACTCAGGACCTCTGGAAGAGCAGTCAGTGCTCTTAACCTCTGAGCCACCTCGCCAGCCCCAAGAAACTCATCTTTATGAGTCACCATCATTAATATTTCTCATATAAACCAGTAACTGAACAGTTACAACATATGTAGATTACTAAAGCTCGGTACTAAATATTAGAAATGGATCAGATTTCATTTGCTAGTTACCTGACCAAGAATGTCAGCAGACATGTCATCTATTTGTTTGGGGATAGTGCCATTAGATAAGGAAATTTCCCTCAATTGGGTAATGAATTTTTCTCCAATCATAATTTAAAAAGTACTTTGGCCGCTGGCAACAGTAAATCCAAGCAATGGTGTGAGGTTTCATGACTCTGGCAATTCTGGGTGTGACCAAATATGGAGCGCCCGTGGCTGCTGCATTCTGTTTGTGGCACGAGCCACAAGTGTCAAGTTCTGCCTTCTTGAATCCATTAACCTTGCTTCTAAAATAGTAGGTCTCCTTGGCAGCAAAGCTCAGATGCTTGCTATCAAAATGGCACTTTAGATTGCTCGACGTCACAGATTTGGCTGATAGAACTTCACAACAAACAACACATTGTAGTTTCTCAATTCCTGCTGTAATTATTTGAGGCAAAAGCATACTGTAAAAAATCCTCACAATATCTTCTTTTCTTCCCATTCTTCTCAGCAACATCCATGGTCATGGGATGGTTTTCTAATGAAAATGATATAAAACAATAGCCTTAATAATATAAAAGATAATACAAGGCATATTTCAGTCAATACAGTTCATTAACATTTCCTATGATTTACCTTTTTTTTTTTTTTTTTTTTTGGTTTTTCAAGACAGGGTTTCTCTTTATTGTTTTGGAGGCTGTCCAGGAACTCGCTCTGTAGACCAGGCTGGCCTCGAACTCACAGAGCTCCGCCTGTCTATGCCTCCCGAGTGCTGGGATTCAAGGCGTGCGCCACCAACGCCGGGCTGATTTACCATTTTTTTTTCAAATCTGTTACTATCACAAGGGGGCAGGAGTCAAATCAGCCACAGCTAAATATGAAAACACCAATCAACATCCAGATTAAGCTTCTAGAGCATACAGTTTTTTCAGTAGTTGATGACTGTATAGTACATGATTTTATGTTTGCCAAGTAATTGTGCTTCATGAAGCTATTTTCAACACAGTAGTTGCTGTTCTCTACACATGTACCAGATCACATAAGTACATTACAGCACAAACCATGTCACACACACCTGTATTTTGTCAGTGTGTATGTGATGGGGTTGGCACAATAATGTCATCACAGCAGGTGCTTACACGCGGTTTATCTGCATGTGAATACTTCCACTTAGAGAAAAAGGACAAGTGTCTCAGTTCCTAATCATCAGAAATATATTTTCTGATGGACTTAGAAAACACCTATGAAGGTTTGTTTGACTCCAAAGGGGTCAACAACCAGGTAGAGAAACAATTTTTTAAAATCAGCTGTTGTTGCTAGGGAAGCACTCAGCATCGGACTGCCAGATCTGCTGGCTCCTCTGAACAAGACACTGAACTCAACTAACCAATCAATGAGGAACTCAGACATGGTTTTAGAAGAAAATTATATTTGAGCTGTGTGTGGTGTCAAATTCCTTTAATCCCAACTCCCCAGAGTCAGAGGCAGCCAGATTTCTGGGACAGTCAGGGCTGCACAGTGAGAACTCATCTCAGAAAAAAAAGAAAAGAAAAAAGAAGTATTTTGCCGGGCGTTGGTGGCACACGCCTTTAATCCCAGCACTTGGGAGGCAGAGGCAGGTGGATCTCTGTGAGTTCAAGGCCAGCCTGGTCTACAGAGCAAGTTCTACTAGGACAGCCTCCAAAACAATACAGAGAAACCCTGTCTCGAAAAACCAAAAAAAGAAAAAAGAAGTATTTTAAGGACCTATGACCAGAGACCCAGTAACAAGTTGAGAAGTGTTCTGTCTGCAGACCCAGAGCTCTCTTCTTTCCTTCTTTCCCTTTTCCATTTTTGATATTTATTTATTCATTCTGCTGGGTGAGACACACACATGCTAAGTGTATAGAGGTCGGAGGGCTTGCAGGAGGACTCAGCTGTCTGCCACCATGTGTTTCTGAGGATCGGGCCTCTCTGATGGTCAGCACCTTTACCTAATGACCGATCCCACTAGCACTTTTCTTTTTTGAAGACAGTTGCATGGTAATCTATGAATGTAATCTAGGGGAGACTAGACTCAGGATAGTCTCAACCTGCAACAGCCTCCTTGCCTCAGACTCCAAATAGTGTACAGGCATGAGTCACTCGCTCATCATTGCTCAGTATTCATTTTTTAAATTACTTTTTATTTAAATGAAAAACCAATCTTATTTTACATACCAATTCCAGTTCCCTCCCCCCTCCCATCCTCCTATTCCCCCCACCCTCGTCCACCCGTCAAAAGGTGAGGCCTCCATTGGGAGATCATCACATCAATTAGTGCTGGACCGAGGCTCTCCCCCCGTTACCTAGGCCGAGAGAATCTCCCTACATTGCCAATGAGCTCCAAAAAGCTAATAGAGATATATCCTGGTTCCACGGCCAGAGGCCAAATAGACTGCCTAGGACTCCCAACTGACACCCACGTTCAGGAGGCCTAGTTCAGTCTTATGCCGGTTCCCACTGTCAGTCTGGAGTCCAGGAGCTCCCACTTGCTCAGGTCAGCTGTTTCTGTGGGTTTCCCCAACATGTTCTTGATCGCTGAGCTCATCACTCCTCCCTATCTACAATGGGATTCCAGAAGATAAGCTCAGTGCTTAGCTGTGAATCTCTGCTTCTGCTTCCATCAGCTACTTAATGCAAGTTCTATAATGACACTAAGTATTCTTTGAGCTTCATACCCACTCTGACCACTTCCAGTCGCCCTCCAAAGATTAATTAAACTCAGTAATATACCCTTTCCCACACAGCTCTCAATCAGTTAGTAAGACAAACCCACCACTGACTGCCTGCATTGGGTGTACTGGAACACCCTCACGAAACCAAACACACAGCTCATGCTCTAGGTAATGGTTGAGGTAAACAGATTCCTACACAGAAGGCAACCTTCAAACACTCAGGGCATGGCTTTCTGGGAAGCAAAGATCAAACTGAACAATCAAATCTGCAAGTGTTATAAAGGTATTGAAAAGAAGAATCAGGGACTGTCAAGATGGATCAGTGGCTAAGAGCAATGACTGTTCTTCCAGAGACCTGGGTTCAATTCCCAGTATCCACATGGTGGCTCACAACCACCTGTAACTTCATTTCCCAGTTCCCAGACGCCTGCCCTCCATGGACATCAGGCTCTGATACGCTGCACACACATATATGCAGACAAAACACACATGCATGTACAATAATAGTACACTCTTAAAAACGCAGATGAGGCACTGCATAGGTAGATAAAGAAGCTAAGTGGGCCACATCTTTAATCCCAGCATTTGGGAGGCTAAGGCAGGCAGATCTCTGTGAGATCAAGGCCAGCCTGGTCTATACTGCAAGTTGCAGCACAGCCAGTGAAACCCTGTCTCAAACAATAGCAGCTAAGTAAATGTGTTCCCTGGCTTTAGCCGGATGGCAAGGGTTCTGGTCACCTCCTGGGCAGTGAGCAGAAAAAGCTCCAAAGCCCAGGTGGGCTCGCACTGTGGAGGCTCGATTGAGGGGTACTTGGGCCCCACAAGGGGCACTCTCTTGACAGGAGCAGAAGTCCTGTTTTGACACAACTCTGGTCTCTGCCTTCAAATGTGTCACCAGTGGCCGCTGGCCTCATCGGGGCCTCTGTGCTGGTGGTGTGTGTTTCTGTGACTGTCTTTGTGTGGACATGCTGCCACCAGCAGGCAGAGAAGAAGCACAAGACCCCGCCATACAAGTTCATTCACATGCTGAAAGGCGTTAGCATCTACCCAGAGACCCTCAGCAACAGGAAGAAAATCATCAAAGTTCGGAGAGACAGAGATGGTTCCCGGAGGGAAAGTGCGCGAGGGAACCTGTTAGTAAATGCGGCAGAGTCTGGCCTGCTGAGCCAAGAAAAGGACCCCAGAGGGCCTAGCTCTGCATCTTGTATCGACCAGTTACCCATCAAAAGAGACTATGGGGAAGAACTGAGGAGTCCCATGACAAGCCTGACCCCTGGTGAGAGCAAACCCACCTCCCCATCCTCACCAGAGGAAGATGTGATGCTCGGATCCCTTACCTTCTCGGTGGACTATAACTTTCCCAAAAAAGCTCTGGTGGTGACAATCCAAGAAGCTGCCAGTGATGGATGACCAAACCCAGGGCTCTGACCCCTACATCAAGATGACGATCCTTCCTGACAAGAGGCACCGAGTGAAGACCCGTGTGCTTCGCAAGACGCTGGACCCTGTATTTGATGAGACCTTCACCTTCTACGGCATCCCGTATAGCCAGCTACAGGACCTGGTGCTACATTTCCTTGTGCTCAGCTTTGATCGCTTCTCTCGGGATGATGTCATCGGGGAGGTCATGGTGCCACTGGCTGGAGTGGACCCCAGCACGGGCAAGGTTCAGCTGATCAGGGACATCATCAAAAGGAACATCCAGGTGAGGAGGAAGCGTGTGCAGGGGAGGGATGGTAGGATGGGACATAACAGATCTAACTAGAGAGACGGATGGGATTGTCAGAGAAGAGACAAACAGCTCATAGCCTCAAGCACTCGAGAGGCAAGAAGCACAAATAAGATAGAGCAACCCCCTGCAAATGAAGTGTTGATGAGACTCTGACTTTGTGTCTTTTGTTTCTCAAAGGCACTGCCCTAGTCTGTTTGGGGCCAAGACTCCTCCCTGGAGGTTCCAACTGCCCTGTAAGCTGCACACTGTAGACACCGTCCTCTGGACAATGCAGCTAAGGGAAACCTGCACTCCGAGGGGTCAGCTCCACTCACCTGGTGGGGTGATGCTGGTCTCTACTTCTGGAGCAGTCTTGGGTGAGGCCAAGGCAGAAGGGGGCTTCTCAGCAGCATCTCCAACTGCGTCACCAGTCACTTCTTCCTCTTTCCGCAAGGCTTCCATCCCTTCCGCCGCCTCCTCCTCTTCCTCTTCTGGCTCAGAGTTCTCCTCCTGGGAGTTCTCTTCCTCAGACTCACCCTCCTGACTCATGCTCCTTTCAGAAGCCAGCCAGGTCAGTTTCTCCATTGTTTCCTAAAAGCACCCCAGAGGATGTTCACAAGGGCTCCTAGCAGCTCCCAGAAGGCCCAAGCACAGGGGCAGTGTCAGGAGGACCTATTAAGGCAGGGCCACGACTCTGAGGGTACTGAGGCCAGGATGGGCAGCAGACAGGCCTATGAGAGGCTGCCTGACTTCCTGAAGACAGCTTTCCTCTGCCATGACACACACTCAGGAGCTTTTGAACCTCTTCTATCGTCTTCTTCCTCCTCGTCCTTCTTCTTCCTTCCTTTCTGTTGTTGTGTTTTGGTTGTCATTGTTCACTGATTCTTTTCTGCAGAGTTGGGGATTGAAACAAGGTCTTGCACAGGTCACGGATATGTGCTATTACATGCCTATTCCTCTATTTCTTAAGAGTACTTTAAATTTTGTTTTTTGAGATGGGGTTTTTTGTGTAGCATTGAATGTCCTAGAAATAGCTCTGTAGACCAGTCAGGCCTGAAATTCAGATATCTGCCTGACTCTGCCTCCCAAGTGCTGGGATTAAAGGCATGACCGGAATGGTCTAATTTTGTTTCAGTCATTATATTATAACTGTTTTGTCTGTACCTGATCTGTGCACTACATGACTACAAAGGCATGAAGAGGGCACAGATCCTCTGGAACTGGGGTTACTGTGGCTTGTGAGCAGCCAATGGGTGCTGGGACTCAAACTAGGTCCTCTTGAGGAGCACCAAGAATTCTTTTGTTGTACTTGTTTTTGTCTGTTTGTTTTGGGGGTTTTTGAGACAGGGTTTCTCTTGTAGACCTGGCTATACTGGAACTCCCTCTGTAGACCAGGCTGGCCTTGAACTCCTGAGAGCTGGGATTAAAGACCTGCCCTATCACTGGAGGCACAAAAACTGATCTTAACTGTGGAGTCATCTTCTCCCCTTCACATATTATGTTTTAAGCCTACTTATGTCTGTTGGCATGCGATGGGATACACACATACCTAGGCACCCATGGGAGGGGATCAGAGGATAAACTGTACCAATCAGTTCTCTCCTTATACTATGTGACCCCAGGATATGCACAAACGCCGTTAAGGATGGCAAATGGTACATTTTACCTGTGGCCTCCTTGTGTGTTTATTTGGCATTTAAAGAATTAAGGGGTCAGTGACATGGTCAACAGGTACAGACGACTGTTGTCAAGCCTGACGGCCTAACTCAATTCCTGGGACACACATGATGGAAGGAGATGACCACCTCCTCCTGTTCCTCTGACCTCTACACACATAAAACCTCATGCACACACTCACAAATGAAATAACTGTAAAATTGAAAAAAAAAAAAAAACAATGAAATACGCTCAAGTGACTCAAATGAACAATGAAACGAGCTTACCCCAAAGAGAGTGTTCCCGTTCCATGGCACCTGACACAAGCCTCTGCACTACGCTCCATAATGCATTCACAAGTCAGATAACCTTATGACTCCCACATTAAAGTAATATCCTAGTGACCCTAACTACTGCAGCTACTCTGGTTCTTACCTGCAGCTCTGGGACAGAAAGCACGGACTCCTCAGAAGCTGACGACAGTTCATCTTCTTCATCTTGGGTGAGGTCATCAAACTCCTCCTCCTCTTCATCCTCAGGTCCGTCTCTCTCTCCTCCAGGGTCTGGTCCTGCCGGGGTCCCCACGCACTTCCCTGGAGGGCTGCTAAGCAGCGGCTCCTGCTCCATGCAGGGTGCAGTGCGTTCAGACAAGCCTTTGCGTGCACCTCCTCTTGTACCCCCCTCCTCAGCCGAGGCTTGGGACACAGAAAGGGATGCAGCTGCTTGAGCCTCCTCTCTCTGCACGACTGCTGCCTTTCCCATCTCTCTAGAACAACTCAGCTTCCCCTGATGGGAGCCACTGTGTAATTCCATAGAGTATTCTTCCTTCACCTTCTCACCAAAGCCCTGCTCAGGGAACCTGCTGCGGATTTCTCCCACACAATCCTCAGCTTCCATCTTGACCATTTCTTCTAAATCTTTCGATGTGGAGTTCAGAGATTCCTGGAGACGCTGAGGAAATGCCCCTAAAGCTAGCCCATCCTGCTCTGTTTTCACAACTGTCCAGGCACAGGTACTCGATTCTGAAGATGTCTCCTGGGTTTCTGTTTTCACAACTGTACAGCCACAGGCCCGTGATTCAGAAAAGCCTTCCAGACTTTCTGTTTTCACAACTGTCCAGTCACATGCACTGGATTGTGAAGATGTCTCCTGGCTTTCTATTTTCACAACTGTCCAGTTACAGGCTCTCGGTTCTGAAGATGTCTCCAGGCTTTCTGTTTTCACAACTGTCCAGTTACAGGCCCTCGATTCTGAAGATGTCTCGGGGCTTTCTGTTTTCACAACTGTCCACTTAAAGGCACTTGATTCTGAAGATGCCTCCTGGGTTTCTGTTTTCACAACTGTACAGCCACAGGCACTCGATTCGGAAGATGCCTCTTGACTTTCCATACCTGATAGAGAATTCCATGGCATAGGCTCCTCTTTGGAGAAGGCAGTAGCACAGAGAGGAGTTAGTCCCTGGGGTTTTAATGTGGAATCAGGGTTTTCAAGACCATCTTTCCCTTCAGTGACATCCAAGTTCACAAGGGCATTATCTTCAGGAATAGAGGGAACAGGAAGTGTCAGAGGATTGCCAGAAACAATTAAGGGTGGAATGGAGGAGGCCACGAGGGGTTGGTTTAACTGACAGGGGAAGGGTGTAGGATTGACGAGGAGCGTGGTGATAGGAATGGTCTGGGGATTTGGGGCCACGGCTGCATTTACAGGCTGGATCACATTACACCCACTGGCGAGGCTTACAACCTTCACTGTGGTGGCAGGGACAGTGAAGATGACAGGTGTGGGGTGGATGATGGGGGCAGGTTTCACACAGGGAGAAACTTTGGCTCCTTTTCTCCTCGTGGGCTTCCGTCTCGAGAACGGCTTCCTAAATTTTGAAGGAGCCAGTGAGGGTAACATGATCTTGGGTGCAGACGAGGAAGGGAGCAGTGGCTGAGACTCAGACAGGGGTAAGCTGGTCCTGGCTTCAGGACCAGAAGGCATAGCTGGCAGTGCTGCAGGAGACTCAATACAATCTTCTCTGCTGACCCCCATTGGAGGGAAACCTGGAAGTGTCTGTAGAACAGTGGTTGGCTGGATAAGATGAGGAATCTGAACTACTATGTGGCCTTGAGGGACATCTGATTGAGTTGGCCAGGTTGCTATTTTCCCTAGGTTGAATGCAGGCTGAACACAAGGGCTGGGTTGGATAAGGAGAGGCTTCTGAACTAATGGTCGCTTGTGTTGCCAAACCCTTTTGGGAAGAGGCTTGGGACCTGGCTTCAATTTGAGTATGACACCCTTGGGGATCAGCAATGGGTATTGAGTTTCACTCCCTAATTCGGAGCTGGCTTTCTCCAAGTGCTGTTCTGTACTGGTCTCTGTGGCTGGGGTCACATTTCCTCCTTCTGCAGCACCTTCAGCTATGTTCCGAAGTTCATCCCGAATGGACTGTAGACTGGCCTACAGGAAACAAGAACACTGTGCTCTAGAGCATGGCAGAATTTAGGGGAAAGAAAAATTAGCTTTCTGGATTCTAAAGATTAGTGGAAGACGGGGTCAAGATATGGTCCCAAGAAGGGTTTTCCATGCCTCAGTGTTCCAGGAAAAGCATATTCAAGTGTGTAAACTCTTCCTGAATTTACATTAGGAAATTATCATTTAGCTGCTAGGAACTTTTAGAGACTCCTGCCTCACAAAGACGTTGAAGGATGGCCAGACCTTCAACCAGAAGGGGAGCCGGTGTTCCTCCTTCTCTATGGGCGGTTTCCACTGATGTGGCTGGATCTCTTCACAGCACCTCACCAGAACTGGCAGCTGTTTGGTCTTCTTATAAAACTAGGCATGAACACACAAATCAAAAGTCATATTCTTTAAGACTGCAAAATGGGCTGGCTGATGGTTTCACACACACATAGAAATATCAGTTATAAATGCTGAATATTTCCGCATTTAAACAAAGTATCCCTGATTAATGAAAATTTCACAAACATTCAGTATTTAAATGCAAATACCCATTCTGATGACCACTAAGATTCTAAACTATCCCAGCCCGTGGGAGGTAGGGGCAAGTCGGATTTCTGTGAGTTCCAGGCCAGCCAGGTCTACAAAGTGAACTCCGCGACAGCCAAAGCTGTTACACACACAAAAAAAGATCCTGTCTAGATTAAACACACACACACAAACACTCAAAAACTACTTCCTCCAATAACCCTTAGGATGGAATTTGAAATTTCTATTAGAAAGAAAGGAAGGAAATAATCTTACTAAAGCATGCATTCTGCACAAAGAGCTCAAGTCTCATCTCACGCACAGAGCCCCACCCACTTCTCACACACACAGCTTCACATCATCTCACACAGGGGCTACTTGTAAGCAGTCACAGGGTTAAGTGGAAAAGATACTACACATTGAGCACAAGTGTGTAGAGCTGTAATCTCAGGGGGAGAGACAGGAAGAAGAGCAAGAGGAAGACCGAGACAGATTCATTTCCAAAGTAAATGGGTTGGATGTGGTGGAACACACATTTAATCCGAGCACTTGGGAGGCAGAGACAGAGGAATCTCAGTGAGTTCAAGAACAGCCTGATCTACATAGCAAGCTCCAGGACAGCCAGGGCTACACGGAGCGATCCCATCTCAAAAAACAACCGATAAATAAATGCATAATGAAAGGAATAACTAGCAAAGGCAGTTGGCTTGAGCATAAGAAACTGTGTTCACATGGTAAAGGCACAACACAATTTCTCATGTTGTCCTCTGACCTCCAGTGTGTACTATAGCAGGTACATGCCCGTATCAGGTAAATAAGTGTGATCTTAAAAAAGCATATCACTCAACCAATCATTGGGCTGGACAGATAGCTGAACACTTAAAGGTGTTTGCTGCTGTTACCAAAGACCCACACTGGGCAGCTCCTAGCCACCTGTAACTACAGATATCCAGTGTCCTCCTGTGACCCCACAGGCACCTGCACACACATCGTGCACATATGCTCAGGCACACAAATACACATATAAAGCGTCATCTTAAAAACACACACAAACAAAAGAAATTTAAAGTCAATGTGTAGGTAAGGTGAGCTGGGGATGTGGTTTAGTGATTCATGGACTCTTAGCACTGAAGGAGGAAGGAGGAGAAGAAGGGATGGAAGGAGGGAGGCAGGGAGGGATGGAGACAGGGAGAGGGAAGGCAGGGAGGAAGACAATGACCCATGACTGAGGTTATAAATCAGGTCTAACCCCAAAGCCTCAGGAAGTCATTGGTAAACCTCCTATACCAAGAGGCGGTAAGGACACCACATCCCAAAAACATGCGTTACAAGCAAAAGGGATGAACACTTTCATGAGGAAACCCTAAAGAAGATGTCACCCTTTAAACTACTATGCCTTTTTCTCTCTCTCACTTTTTAACTAGGATACTGTTACGGAGCTCTGGAAATCCCAAACTCACAGGAATTCTGGAGTCTGCGTCCCCTACATGCAGTGACCAGTGCCGCAACAGCACACCTACCTGACCTGACTCCTGAAGAATAAGGGCGTGACCCTGACACAAACGTCTACAGGAAAAGCAGCACTGGAAGCTGCAGAGGTGACTCCGTGGTAAAGGGCAGGTCCTGCTCTTACAGAGGACCCCAGTTCAGTCCGCAGCACACATGCACCCATGTCAGGTGGCTCACAACGACACAGGACTGCAGCTGGAGGGGATCCGGGACACTGCACACACTGGCACAAGCCACACACAGACACACGCTGAATTAAAAACAAAGGAAGAAAGCAGCACACTGGAGACAGTTGACAAACGGGATACTGTCATCCTGCAGAAGGGTGGAGTGAGGCAGACGCAGCATGGATGAAAGGATGGAGGACTGCCTGGTGGAATCCTTTACCGGAGCAATTCCATTAGAGGGGCTACGGTGAACGTACTCCAGAGCATTAATGGATCGCTGCCTTACACAGGGAAGGGTAGACTGATCTATACAGTGGGAGGAACTACCCTTTAAACTAGCCTTCTTTAGCAGGGACTTCCCTGCCTTCCCTGATAGCTGAGAGGAGGAGGAGAAAGGGCTAGGTGCCTCTGCAGGAGGCACGGGGAGCTTGAGCAAACACTCACTTTAATCACGTTGTTAGGAGCTCTGTTCTGGTTGAGGTTCTTGATTCTCACCGTCAGCTGGTGAGCGGTCTTACAAGTTACAAGGTACTTGCTGATTAGAGGTTTAGGAAACTCAGTGCCTTCGAAGTGCTTCAGTCCTAAAGCTAACAGACTGAGAGAGAAGCAATGATACAACCTAACTTCAGACCTTTCTTCAAAAGAGCTCTCCAAACTGCTCTTGCTTCACAAACACTGTCTACACCTTCAGATACTTACCGAGTACTCAGTATTTTAAAAACCAAACATGAAGGGATCAGTGGCAGGGAAGGCCCTGGAACAATCCCACAGCACTGTTAAAATAAATTTCTTTAAAGTTCTTTGCACAAACGTCCTTGGTGAAGCTTGTGATAAAAACACAGAAGAACACAAACAGCCAGTGCACACCCTCAACCCCCAGGAGGCTGAGGCACAGACGCCATGCTCAAGATCAGCCCGGGTTCATGGCACCCCTGTGACAAGAAAACAAGGGCTGTAATGTAACTCACTGCTTACGGTGCTTGCCTGCCATGTGGAGGGCCAAGGACTGAACTTCAGTGCCCCTTACTTTGGTTCCAAAGATCACATAATCAGGGCTAGTGATATGACTGCACTGGCCAAGCACAAAAGAGACTGGTCCCACGTCAAAAACAACAACAAAAACAAGTCACAGAGTGAGCTGTCCCAGGAGTGGTGGCACACTCTTGTGATCTCAACCCCGTACATGAGGCAGGAATGCGGCTCTAAGCTGAAGGCTTGCCCAGGCTACACAATACCACTGGGCATCATCCCTCCCCCCAAAATAAAATTGCAAAACCCCAGTACTCCCCTCAGACAAAGAAACAAAACAAAAGAACTACAACACTGAAACCTGCTCTTAGAATATAGAGGCAAGAGGGTCCAAGGTTCAGGTCAGCCCTAACACCATTATCTTTTCAAGTACAATATTGGATACATGAGGATCTGCCTCAGAGAAAATAAATAGTAACTCAAAGAATAAAACGACAATTTGAAGTCTTTGTCTTTTCTTTTTTGGTTGGTTTGATTTTTCCTTACAGGGTTTCTCTATGTAGCCCTGGATAAACTAAACCTCCATCTGTAGTCAGAGCCAGCCTCGAACTGATAGATCCACCTGCCTCTGCCTCCCAAGAGCTAGGATTAAAGGCACTGGCCACCACCCACTGGCAAGCCCTTGTGGTATCAGAAAGCAAATTACCAAATTACAGATTCCTTAAATTCCCGAAGCTCTCTGAGTCCCAGGAGAGGAGGAGTCAGTCACAGTGTCTGGAACACACAAAGCCCGGGCCTTCACACCCAGTACCACATACCCAGGCTAGTGGCTCACACCTGCATTCCCACTTCTCAGGAGGCCCCAGGATCACAAAGGAAAGGCTAAGGGGAAAACAAACAGGAACCACTGTCTTTGGGCTGGTGGACAAAGGTTAGAAACTTTCTGCTTTGAAGATTTGCTTTCAGTACTACTACAAGATTGGCTCTCCAGCCAGTCGGTGGTGGTGCACGCCTTTAATCCTAGCACTCCTGAGGCAGAGGCAGGCAGATTTCAGTGAGTTTGAGACCAGCCTGGTCTACAGAGTGAGTTCCAGGACAGCCTCCAAACTACAGAGAAACCCTGTCTCGAAAAACAAAAACCAAACAAACAAAATAAACAAAAAAAGATTGGCTCTCCAAGAAACAAAAAATTAAACAATGCTTTTAAATGCTTCCAAAATGTGCATGGCAGGGCTGGACATAGGACTCATTACTTAGGAACACAGCCTACTCTTCCAGAGGACCCAGAGTCAGAAAACAACACCCACAGGCATAGAACCCAGTGCCAGGGGATCCAACATCCTTTGCTGGCCTTTGTGGGCACTGTTATGTACTTGGTGCTCAGACATACAAGCAGGTAAATGAAATAGTAAAACTAATAATAATAATAATAATTTTAAAAAGTTTTCATCACAACAAGTGTGGCATCTACTGCAAAAGAAGTGGCTGAAACTCTATCTATATGGCTTTTCTTTGGTCTGTGTCTTTGTTTTACATATCTTATTTCACCTATGTGTGTCAAAAGGAACTGTCTCTGCCTTTCACTAATGTAGTCTTTGGATCCTCACAGAAAACTTACTTGTCCTCAGCCTTGGTAAAGACGACCTTATCCCGAGGATTATTTGCCTTCAGTGAACATATTGGAAGGAGTTCTGGATACATGAAGACCTTGTTTGTGGCCAAGATCCAAGCCACTTGCTTTGGCAAACAGGGAAATTCACTAGCTATAAGAAAAAACAAAAACCTGTGATAATACAATTCAAGGAACAAAAAGCTTCACAAAAGTGTATAAATCCTTTTTAGCATTCAAACAGAGATCTCCTTCTCTGACTTGACCCCTTCTGTTTCCAGTTGTTTCAACCTAACATATTCCTCACAGGAGCTAAATCAAGCTGATTCCCCTGTCCTTTCCTGTGTGGAACACTTCATCCACTAAGACAGGAACATAAGGCACCGAGCAGTGTCCACACGTACGGTTATCCACAGGCATCTTTTCAACCTGTAAAAATTCTTTACAACACAAACAACTTCAGCAAGGTCTTTGTTCGACCAAGATAAAAATTATACTTTGTCCATTCTTTTTTTTTTTAAAGATTTATTTATTATGTATATACTTTTCTGTCTGCATGTATGTCTGCAGTCCAGAAGGGGGTGCCAGATGTCATTACAGATGGTTGTGAGCCACCATGTGGTTGCTGGGAATTGAACTCAGGGCCTTTGGAAGAACAGCCAGTGCTCTTAACCTCTGAGCCATCTCTCCAGCTCTTGTCCATTCTTTTTTTACAAATCTGGTATTCTAGATGTCAGTGAGATGGGACAGATGGACCTCATGACCTGAATTCAACTCTGGAAGTCACAGCTGTCCTGTGCATGATGGTAATATATCTCTCTATCTCCCCCCCAAGCCAGTGTGTGTATGTGTAAATATGTAAATATGATTTTAAAAATACACAGAAAGTATACATGACATTCCTACTTTAAATGAGATGTTGGTTCTGGCGTCAGGCCCCAAGTTAGAAATCAACGTTAAACATTTGTCAAACATGGTAAGTAGTACTTTACCACTGAGCTACATTTCTAGAAACAACAATTTGATCTTAATGAATCAGGGTAAGAATTAAACATGGGATGGGAAGATGGCTCACTGGGTAAGAACACTAACTGAACTGGGCAGTGGTGATATAAGCATCTAATCCCAGCACTGGGGAGGCAGAGGCAGACAGATCTCTGTGAGTTTTAGGCCAGCCTGGTCTACAGAGCAAGTTTCAGGACAGCCTCTAAAGCTACACAGGCAAGCCCTTCCTGGATAATCCAATGAATAAATGAATAGATAAAACAGATGGATAAGCTGGCCATTGGTGGTCCATGCCAAGACAGGCTCCAAAGCAATACAGAGAAACGCTGTCTTGAAAAACAAAAAACAAAAAAGAGATGGATGAACAAAAATAAATAAAAGAACACTAATTGCTTTTCCAAAGGACCCAGGTTCAATTTCCAGCACCCACAGGGCAGCTGACAACTGTGTGTAACTCCAGTGCCCAGGTATCTGGTGTCCTCATACGGACACACATTCAGCTGACAACTGTGTGTAACTCCAGTTCCAGGTATCTGGAGTCCTCATACAGACACACGTTCAGGCAAAATCCCAAATAAATCATTAGTACCAAAAAACCCCAAAAGGTGGGTGGTGGTGATAGTGCACACCTTTAATCCCAGCACTCGGGAGGCAGAGACAGACAGATCTCTGTGAGTTTGCAGCCAGCCTGGTGTACAGAGCAAGTTCCAGGACAGGCTCCAAAGCTAGAGAAACCCTGTCTCGAAAAAACAAAACCAAACAAACCCCCAAAAATGAAGACCTTAAACATGACTGAGCCTTCACAACTTGACTTTCACCTTTATCAAACCCCAACTAATTTCACAGGAAACAACACTTTCCCGTATTGTAAGGATTCAGGCATTATGCTGACCTGCCCCTGTCACCTGGCAGAATGCACTCAGACAGCACCCTGGTCAGCCCAGGGTCCATGAGTACTAGTCTGAAGGCAAAGGACCCTTTAAATGAAAGACCCCGCCCACCTATGCTCCATGCCCTCTCTCTCCTGCTGTCCTGATGTGGGGCAGACAGGCCTTTTCCTGCCTCCCTCTTCCCTTCTGACCTGTCTCTGTCTCTGTCTCTCTTTACCTCTGCCCCCTTCCTTTCCAATAAAACTTCTCACTTGAGCTCCATCTGCCTGGCGTGTTTGTCCCTCCACCTCAGTCACCCTCGCCCACCTCGGAATCAGACAAGGTTCACCTTGCACATCATCATGACACACATATCGTTCAAGTCCAGGTTTTAGCAAGGATTCCTGAATCCCCATTCACACTCTTCTCTTTCTAAGACTTACCCCAGCACAAATTTTAACATGTAATGCTAAAGCCTAGAATGTAAAGGAAAAATACAGAAAACTAAAAGTATATTCTACACACTCCATCCTAAGAATTGTACATAAAAAAATGATAAAGATTCTCATCTCTCACTGCAAATCAAAACCTGAAGTTGACACATGCATCTCCTACCAGTCTTCTTGGCGGTTTTCTGAGGACTGCAGTCAACACTGACATGTGTGAAGTCTTCCATGAGCTGCATAGCTCCCATCCAGTTACAGGGTTGGAACAAGGTCTGAAACTTGGGGTTGAACTGTTGGTGAAGGGCGATGGAGTTCTCTGCAAAGGTTCCCAGCTCTTTCTGACAAGAAAGGACACAAAGGAGATCTGAGAGGATTCCACAAAACTAGTACCACAGTCCTCAATCTCTGAAGGGGTAAGGGCTCTTGCTGCTATAGGACTAGAGGCAGGTAAAAATCTCTCTTAACTGACATGGTTCCATTTTGACTTCTCAGTCTTTGTCCTCAGACATTCAGGGACTGGACTGCATTCATTTGAAGACTCGCACTGAACATCCTGCAGCCTTGCAGACGCAAACTATACTCCCTACCTAGAAGCAGGACTCAGCAGCAGAGCTGTTGAGAAGTATGCTCAAAGTCCCCAATGTGAACCTCAGCACTGGGGGAGGAGGACGGGGCAGATCACAGGCACACACACCGGTTTTGAGTCTCACTCTGTAGCCCAGGACAGCCTTGAACTAATGACCCTCCTTTCTCATTCACCAAAGTACTAGAGATAAAGAATAAAGGGGACTACCACCCCTGCCTCCTGTTCTTAGAGAAATATTTTCTGAAGCTGGGTAGTGGTGGCACACGCGTATAATCCTAACACTCGGGAGGAAGAGACAGGAGGATTTCTGTGAGTTCCAGGACAGGTTCAAAACCACACAGAGAAACCCTGATTTGAAAAACAAAACAAAAAACACAAACAAAAACATCTGGAGAGATGGCTCAGCAGCTAAAAAAGCTTGTTGCTCTTATAGAGGACCCAGACTTAGTTCCCAACATCCATATGGCGGCTTACAACCTTCCAGAACTCTAGTCCCAGGGGATGAGACATCTTCTTCTGGCCTCCACAACCACCAAACACACACTGCCCACATACATAGAGGCAAGCAAAACACACAAAGGCATAAATCTCAGTTTTAAAAGTTTTCTGAATAATGCACCAAAAGAAAACTTTCTCGTCATCATCTGAATACAGTAACAAGGAAACAGACTCTATACCACGAAGCAGTGGGCATATTAGCAAACACATCATGGAAGCACAAAAGCGCTTTCTCCAGGGTGCACCTGCGCTAGGGCCCTTCCCAGGGAGCTTTCCTTGCCGCCCTCCACAGATCTATTATTAACTCTATAAGAAAGAAAAGGGGGAGAGGTAAAAGGGAGAATGGGAAAGAGGGAGGACCCATTAAAGTTTACAAATCTTTCAAAACACCTAAAATGTCATAAGCAGAATTAATCCTAAGCTGCCCATTAAAGCTAAGCATAATAAACAGGTCACAAATTTGACATCCTTAATAGAGTTCTTGTCTACCATGCTGGAAGCCCTCATTTATACCCGCAGCTCCCCACACACTGGGCACTGGAGTGCAAGTCTGTACTGGGTTATACCAGCAGCTCCCCATACACTGGACACTGGAGTGCACGTCTGTACTGGGTTATACCAGCAGCTCCCCACACACTGGGCACTGGAGTGCACATATGTACTGGGTTATACCCGCAGCTCCCCATACACTGGGCACTGGAGTGCACGTCTGTACTGGGTTATACCAGCAGCTCCCCATACACTGGGCACTGGAGTGCACGTCTGTACTGGGTTATACCCGCAGCTCCCCATACACTGGGTACTGGAGTGCACGTCTGTACTGGGACACTTGTGAAGTACAGGAAGGACCATCACAAGTACAAGGTCAACCACATAGTGACCCTGAGGCCAGCTTGGACTACATGAGACCCTCTCTCAAAAAAGGAAAACAAAAAGGATTCCAAGATGAGGAGGGTGTAACCAAAATGACATTCAAAACACTTTCACAGGAGAAGCAGGTACAGTGACCAAAAACGTCCAGTAGAGAAGATGAAATATAGATTATAATCAGTGAATAGCATTAACAGTGAAAAAGCACTTATCAAGCTAAGGTTAAGCTAAAGTCTGCAGAGGTATGGATGCATGGACCCTTACCAGAAATACTCTGGTGGTGCTGGCCTCAGAGCTGAGGTTGGGGTTGGAGGTGGTGAGAAGGTAGATTTGTGTCAAGAGCTGAACGTGCTGGGAAGCAAAGAAAACTGACATGTTAAACGTTGCCATTTCAGAAACACAGATCTTACCAAGAGGTCTGCAAATGTATCACACGTATCTTACTTCTCTTGTTCTTTTGAACAAGACCACAAACTCAGACAAACTTGACCCTCAAACTAGAGAGACTGAAGGGGAAAAACTAAAACTAAAACTGACAGTTCCCCACGTCTGAATGCATCACCTAGAACTCCCAGATCCTGCACTTTACCAGGTCTTTATTTGCTTTCCTGCCTGAGCCACAGGCCACGAACATGCTGTTCTCTCAAGGTCTTAGTGGACTGGGGGTCCGATGGCCCATGCTTTCAATGGAAGGCAGGACAGACACCTCTGACTTTGCAACACTCTCACTTTGGGCTTCAGTGTGAAGCTGGGAGATGAGGCAATTACAACACAATGAGAAGCCTCTTGCCTGCTGCATCTGCTGCTGAAGCCTGCTCCTCTGTGCTGGGTCTAGAATCAGAGTCTGGTGGACTGTCTCCTTCTGACTTTTAAGCCTCTCCTCTTCAGGCTGGGGTTTGCATGCAGATTTTTTCATCTTCAGCTGTTCAAGCTGCTCTTTTACTGTCCGATGTCCTTCATTCAGCAAGTTGGCCAATGGTTCCTCAAACCTATTCCCAACAAGGAAAAAAAATCTGTATATTTTCCTAGGTCCACAACACATCAAATTCCTCCTAATAACATATTAAGCAAGGGAGGGAGGGAGAGGGAGAGGGAAGAGAGACAGACAGACAGACAGAGAGAGAGAGACAGAGACACAGAGAGAGAGAGAGAGAGAGACAGAGAGACCATGCCTCAAGCTGGTCCCCAATTGAAGCCACTCCCAAAGAGGTGTGGCCAGTCACACAAATACAATGGCAAGGCTAGATGCCATTACAATTTTTTTTTTTTTTTTTTTTGGTTTTTTCGAGACAGGGTTTCTCTGTGGCTTTGGAGGCTGTCCTGGAACTAACTCTTGTAGACCAGGCTGGCCTCGAACTCTCACAGAGATCAGCCTGCCTCTGCCTCCCAAGTGCTAGGATTAAAGGCGTGTGCCACCAACGCCCGGCTGCGCCATTACAATTTTAAGATGGAAAAAACACAAGAGTGTCTGGATCCTGTATGTATGTTATTGTGTTGGCTTGAATTTTTTGGCTGCTAAGAGACATTGGATTGCTGGGCATTGGTGGCTCATGCCTTTAATCCCGGCACTCAGGAGGCAGAGGCAGACAGATCTCTGTGAGTTCAAAATCAGCCTGGTTTACAGAGTATGTACCAGGACAATCTCCAAAGCTACAAAGAAACCCAGTCTCGAAAAAACAAAACAAAACAAAAAAAAGAAAGAAAGAAAGAAAGGAAAGAAAAACAGAGACAGACAGACAGAGAGAAAGAGACTTTGGGTTATAGAAAATGCTGGATTAAACCACCCCCCCCCTCTCTCTATATATATATATACACATCTTTTTTTTTTTTTTTTTTTTTTTTTGGTTTTTCGAGACAAGGTTTCTCTGTATTGTTTTGGAAGTTGTCCTGGAACTCGCTCTGTAGACCAGGCTGGCCTCAAACTCACAGAGATCCGCCTACCTCTGCCTCCCAAGTGCCGGGATTAAAGGCGTGCGCCACCAATGCCTGGCCCAACCTATATATTTTTAAAACATCATGACGTAGAAATTAAAGTCAAAAGTTATGTTACTTTGGGAGAGAGGTTATGCTTTTGTTTCCGTAGGAAATGAAAAGCTATGGGGTTATTCCAGATTAGGGAAAATCAAGTTTAATCCAGGAAGACTCCCTTAAAATCCTGGCTACAACCATTAAAAAAAAATAATATGCCTAAAAGAACCACAAGATATGTAAGGTATATTTTACATGCTCAAACACATAGGAAGAAATCATCTTTGGCTACCTTATCTACAATGCACAGTCTATAGTGTATTAATGCAGACAAGTATGTTATCTTTAAAAGTTTATGTATTTTCAGGCTGGGCGTTGGTGGCGCACGCCACCATTATTAGGGATGTTTGTTATCATTTAACGGGGGTTGGTTACAAGTTGTTATTGGTAATATTAAGGAAAAAAGGTAAACAAAGGTGTTAGATTCAAGAATCTCTCTCTGAAAAGAAATGGAAATATAGATATAATAGGATAAGGGATAGATTATTAAATGTACTTTAATCCAAAATACAAGTATTAAATATTTTACATTGCTATAGGTTTTGGTTTATTGATACAAATTTAAAATTAAATTTGTTATAATGTATGTATGTTTCTACTCTTGCTTAAGGTATTGTGTTTATGCAGTTCACTTAAGGGCAGTGATGGCACAGTGACTTTGAGGCTAGGCTGGTCTACAAAGTAAGTTCTAGGACAGCTAGAACTACACAGTGAAACCCTGTCTTGAAAAACAACTCAAAAACAAAGAAGCAATGTCGTGCAGATTGCAATGCAATGAAATACAGATTGTCATCTATAATAGTCAAACTTATGTTTGGCATGATTTCACACAGAGATATCTTTTAGATAGACAGGTAATCTGCAGACACTTCGATGACCAATGTGGCATTAAGTTTAATGACCTAAGGCTTGTCATGACAGTACAACACATATCTGTTCCTGGCAGCATCAATCTACTTGAAAGAAAATGATGGGTATCTAGAAACTCCATATGGAATTTAGTTTGTGACAAAAGTTAGCCATTGGGCAAAGTAACTGCTTTTGCCTCAATTGCTGCCAATATACTGTCCAAATTGGATCAGCAGGACACAAGAAGCAACTGCTGAACTCTGCCAAGACAATGTAGGACAGTTCTTCAAAATTCCGCACTTCACAGGCAAGTCTGTCAGATATTCTAACTGGATGCCCCAACTCTACAGAGGTGTCCAGGCGGATTGGTACCTCTGTCATTAGGTAACATTTCACCCTCCTGGAGTCTTTTTTTTTTTTTTTTTTTTTTTTTTGGTTTTTCGAGACAGGGTTTCTCTGTGGCTTTGGAGGCTGTCCTAGAACTCGCTTGGTAGTCCAGGCTGGTCTCAAACTCACAGAGATCCGCCTGCCTCTGCCTCCCGAGTACTGGGATGAAAGGCGTGCGCCACCAACGCCCGGCCCCTCCTGGAGTCTTTAATGGAATTGAAGACTAGATTGCTATAATTATAGATTTTGTTAATTATTTATAAAAAGTTAAATTAGATATAAAACTTCAGAACCACAAAGATAGATAATAGAATATTTTCTCTAATTTTGCCAATTACAAATATACTAGATATTATAACTAAAATTCTTTTTTTTTTTTTTTTCGAGACAGGGTTTCTCTGTATTGTTTGAGGCTATCGGTTCAGCCCAGCCTCGAACTCACAGAGATCCGCCTGCCTCTGCCTCCCGAGTGCTGGGATTAAAGGCGTGCGCCACCACCGCCCGGCCATAACTAAAATTCTTACTTGATAAAATTTTGTTATATATAATCTTACTGTGTTAAAGTTAAAACATTCCCATTTACTTAGACAAAAAGGGGAAAATGGGGTGGAATATTCCTTTACACTATGTGAATATATGTCACAGTGATTGATTTAATGAACAAGCTGACTGGCCAGTAGCTGAAGAGGATACAGTTAGGTAGGACAGGCAAACTGAGGATGATTGGATGAGGAAGGGGGGGGTCAGGGGATGTTCCTTGGATAGCATCTAGACACCCCCGTGGAGGGTCTTTCTGTGGCTGGCCTCGTGAAGCTCTATGCCTCTCCAGCACCACTCGCATGGAAAGGCTGCTCTCAGTGCCAGCTATGATTTTTCTCCCTTCCCAAACAGACACAGCTTTGTCTGTCGCTGTACTGCCCCATAACAAGGAGACCGCTCTCGTTTGTTGTCTTGTTAACTACCGCACATCCAGGACTCCTCACGCTAAACAAGAGGCTGAGGAAGATGAACTATAATTTCTTTTAAAAAGCCAAAAATATCAAGCCTCTTCATAAACACACTATCCCTTCATGCTACATCTCAGCCAGCATACCGCAGGGTTTGAGGAGTGTTGAAGTTACGTCGAGACTCTGATATATCTGGTCCATCTTCTTCCATATTGGAGAATTCCATTTCATCTTGGAACTGTGGGAAAAAGAAAAGGAGATTTTTCTCGAGAAAATAGTCCCTATGTAAGCCACTCTAGTGTTAATAACAAATTTCGGGAACTTTACTAATGTTGGGTTTCAAAAGAGACCCTACGGAGGAGTGGGCTCAGGGGTTAAGAACACTTGCACTCAGTAGACAGAAGCAGGTGGATCTCTGTGAGTTTGAAGCCAGCCTGGTCAACAGAGTGAGTGCCAGGATAGGCTCCAAAGCTACACAGAAAAACGCTGTCTCCAAAAGAAAAAAGGAAAAAAAGAACACTTGTTCTCACATAGGACCCAGATTCAATTCTCAGCACCAACATGGCAGCACAAACCACCTGTAACTCCAGTCCAGGGACTCCAATGCCCTCTTCTGACCTTCATAGGCCTGTGGTATACAGACAGACATGCAGAGAAACACTGAATCACAAAGGAAATAATATTTCCTACTGGTCTCAAAAATGCAGAGTTGTGGAGCCCAGTCACAAAGGGTACATCTACATACACTCCTGCACCTAAGCCTCAGGGAACACTGTGGAAGAGAGAGGAACATGGAGTGTTGCAACAAGGCTGTGTCTCCTAGGAATGTCAGAAACTGTACCAATAAAGTCTCACCAACATGACTGCCTAATATGAACTACACAAGGACAACAAGAGCCATGCTAGCATGGACAGGTGAAAGCCCAGGAGGCCTCAACCCTACAAAAGAACTGCAGACAATTAAGGAAAGCTGGGACTGGGAGAAATAGTCTTCCCCAAGAAGAGAACACCAATTGGCTATCCAGTGCAAGATGGTCAGCCCTAAAAACATACCACAAGTAATCTTATACAGGCTCAACAGGTTGTACTTATGTATTTAGGAACATACATATATACAAATAACAACAATCAGTGAAAACAGAGGACATGAATTTGCAAGAGAACAAAAAGGGGTCTGCGGGAAGCTTTAAACAGAAGAGAGGGAAGGGTGATATGAAGCAATTTTATTATAATCTCAAAAAATTAAAAAATACTTTGAAAAAATATGTCTTTTGTAAAAAATCAAGAGCTATAATGAAGCTAATCTCACTACAGGGTCTCAAGGACCCATACTAGCAATAGCTAATATACTCAAAAAGAAGTCTTTCAACTGGTCAAATTGTAACATGAACTGAGACAGGACAGATAACTCAAAACCTCATTCTCTTTCGCAGAAATACCTTGGTGTGTGGTACATATATGTACATTCCAGTTATGGGAATGAAGAGATCAGAGTGTGAGGTAGTCTATCTTCCTCAATCGTTGTCTTTCTTTTTTTTTTTCTCCATTTCTTTTCTGACACAAACCACACTGTTTATTGAAGAAATATGGTCAAGGTTATAGTTAAGTGACCCAGGTAAGGAGGTGATGGGCACCTCAGCTCAGAGCCGGGTGAGGAAAGTGGGAGGGACAGAGGGCTTTCATCTGGCATGGCCTCAGAGTTATGAAACGTTCTGGAAGCCAAGCTGTAGGTGAGGTCGTGGCTACACATTCAGGGCCTTTGCTGGGCCACTGTCTATTACCACGGAGAACCTCTTCAGCCCATGATTCCCAACAAGGGACATCAAAGAATCATTCAGTGCAATTCTGTCTCCTTCCCAAAGGCCACAGTGTGGTCAGCCAAGAGCCAGACCTTGCCTTGTGAGCTGACCCCACTCTTCATCTCAAAGACATCTCTAACACTCAGACATGCCACCACAGACACTCCTTGGCCCTCGGAGCCCCACCTTACTCCACAAACACAGGCAGGTGGGTCTTAGGACACATAGGGGTAAACATACCAGTAACTCCAAACAACACACCTTTCTTTCCTTTACCTTCTTCCTGGTCTCCACTGAGGGGCAGCCATGTCCCTCCTTGATTGGGGCCAAGGCCATCACAAGCACTGCTAAAGCTGTGGGCAGAGCCATGGGCCACCCTGCTGCTTAGTAGCCTGCTCTGCCTGCCAGGGCCTAGTCCGTGGCTCATCAAGCTGGCTCTGCAGCCCAGGATGTGTAGCTCTTCGTCACAAACACCCCTCCACTCACACTTCCACCCAGCCAACTCCTAAATCGCTTTTTAAATCTGGTCTGTCATGAGCTCCAGGGACCAGCTTCTCTGTACACACTGGAGCTGGGATTACAGGCACACAGCAGCACACACAATATGAACTCAGTTCCTCATGTTTGTATGGCAAGCACATCTCCACAGTCGCCAGACTACTGGACATTGGATCCTCTGGAAAAGCAGCAGGTGCTCTTAAACGCTGAGCCATCTCTCCAGTTTCCTCACACACCCCAAAACCTTTAAACAGACAAATTTACCTGCTACTCCCCTTTGGGACCACCCACTCTGGTCTATCTATGGAGGGTAAACTTTGCTGAGCTATACAAACCTCTGCTTCAACTAAAAAATAACCTAAAATCAAGAAACAATTTTATGAGAACCATGTCTCTATGATCACTGTCAAATGATAGTCTGCCACAGTAGGCTCCTAGAAATACCTGTGGATAATCAAGAGTTAACTACATGTGGGTAATCAAGAGTCTACTACTCAGAATTCACTGGCCATTGTACTTTTGGTGGCTCTGACACAGCCAGCCATTATGCTGAAGAGAAAATCCCTAAAAGCAAAGGACAGAGCTTTCTTATGAATTTCACCAAGCGACTCAGTCAACGACCACTACTCACAGTTTCAAACAGCTCCTCCATCAGCCCGTTCACTTCTTTCTCTGTGAAAGGCAAAGAGGGTGTTAGTAGAGCGCAGCTTCACTGTGCAGTAAGGAAGATGTCTATGGGGACAATGTATGCTGTTTCTCCCAAGGCATCAGAACAAATGCTCTTATCCATTCTTCAAGCAGGAACTCAAAGATGGTTACAAGACACCACTGTTCTTCAATTCCTGTTCAAGATTCTTGGGATACAGGAAAGAACAAAACACAGAAGTGTTGCTATTTGCTATCTGTCTCTGGGCCCCAAGACTCCACTGTGCACTGATGGTCTTAGGACCAAGGGGATAACAGAGGCAGGATGTCAAAAAGCCATGAATACTTCTGAGCAAAGAACAACGAGGAAGTCTACGGGGGGAAGGGGGGCGCAAGTCGTTTATTAGTGTAATAGCCTGGTTTATATAGAGCTTGATGACAGAGGAATAAGAGAATACACCTAATTTGTATGCATGGCTAGGACTGAGGGCGGGCAGGCCTTATCATTTCAAGTTCCGCAGAGGCCCTACTCAGGGTGAAGTGCAGGGAGGGAATGAGGCACAAGACACATCACTTACTTAGCAAAGTAACATGTTAGCACCCGCTTTCTAGTAGTGAGGAAGACTTGCTGGCTTTTAAAATGGCATGATCTTTTGTCGCTGTGAAGTATATACAGGTTTTTCAACCCTAGTTGGGAATGAACAGCTGGTTTCTACCATAAATCTGAGAGACAAACAGGTACAGGCACACTCCATCAGATTGTTTGATTCTAGAATTTCACACAGGACTCTTAGTTTCATCAAGTTTAAATTCAGGAAGAAGTTTTCAATGTTCAATGATTTTATAACAAAAGTAGAGTTATAATCCCAATTCTCAGGAAGCTGATGTAACATAGCTGTTCAGAGGTCAAGACCATAATGGCTACCTACATAAGTCAGCAGCAAACTATGGCTACACAATGAGATTCTGTCCCAAAAGCAAAACAAGAAGATGAACAGACATGGACCTGGAGAGTTAGCTGTTAAAACAAATGTATTAAAAGTTTTCCATTTTTCCTGAGAATTTGTCATACTAATTTCCAACATGGCTGTACAAGTTTATAGTCCCACCAGCAATAGAGAAGTGTTCTCCTTTCTCCACATCCTCTCCAGCATATTAGCCATTCTGAAGGTGTAACCTGGTATATCAGTTGTTTTGATTTGTATTTCCCTGATGGCTAAGGATGTTGAGCAATTTCTTAAATGTCTTTCAGCCATTTTAGACTCCTCTTTTGAGAATTCTCTATTTAGTTCTATACCCCCACTTTATGATTGGATTATTTGGTGTTTTGGTGACTTGCTTCTTGAGTTCTTTGTATATTTTGAAAGTCAGCCCTCTGTTAGATGTGGGGTTAGTGAATATCTTTTCCCATTCTGTGGGCTGCTGTTTTGCCTTGTTGACTTTGTCCTTTGCCTTACAGAAGCTTCTCAGTTTAAGGAGGTCCCATTTATTGTCAATCTCAGGAAGTGGTCTACTGTACCAGTTGGTTCAAAGTACTTCCCACTTGCTCTTCTAAGAGTTCAGTGTGGCTGGATTTATGTTGAGGTCTTTGATCCATTGGACTTAAGTTTTGTGCATGGCAATAGATATGGATCTATCTGCAATCTTCTACATGCCAACATCCAGTTATATACTGAGGAACCAGCATGGAACCGAACCAGGCCCCCTGAACGTGGGCATCAGTTGGAACGGCTGGGGAGTCTATGGGTTCTCTGTCAGTGGAACCAGTATTTATCCCTAGTGCATGAATGGGCTTTAGAAGCCCATTCCCTATGGAGGGATACTGTCTCAGCCTAGAGACACCAGGGAGAGCATAAGCCCTACCCCAAATGATGTGTCAGACTTTGATGATCCTTCACGGAAGACCTCACCCTCCCTGGGGAGTGGACGGCGGGGTGGGATGGGGGATTGGTGGGGAGCATGGGAGGACAGGAGGGAGTGGGAACTGGGATTGGCATATAAATAAGGTTGTTTTTAATTTAAATAAAAATTTACTTTAAACAGGCGGTGGTGGTGCACACCTTTAATCCCAGCACTCGGGAGGCAGAGGCAGGTGGATCTCTGTGAGTTTGAGACCAAGTCTGGTCTACCAAGCGAGTTCCAGGACAGGCTCCAAAACAATACAGAGAAACCCTGTCTCGAAAAACAAAACAAAAAAAGTTTCCCATTTTTAAGCGTGTAAAGATAACAGTCACCAAGGCTAACTATCTGAATTTGATCCCTGGGAACAACATGGCAGAAAGAGAACTGACTTCCCCAAGCTGCCCTCGTCTCTCCAGCTGGTAGATCTCTTCTGTTTGCAATGGGCCTTTTCTATTCTGCCTGCTTTCACTGCAAATCTTTCAATCCTGCTTTAGTAGCTAAAATGTCTCATCTTCCAAATCCCTTTCTAAGACTTCTAAAGGACAACCTCTTTCGACAGACTGGCATTCCTCAAGCAACCCACAGTGCACCTATCACTTTATATTCCCCTATTAGACTCATTGCCTGCAAAGCAGAGGTCACATCCACGTTCATTTTGGCATCCAAAGTATAATACAAGCCAATCGGTGGTGGCTCACATCTTTAATCCCAGAACTTGGGAGACAAAGGCGGGCAGATCTCTGAGTTCGAGGACAGCCTGGTCTACAAAGTGAGTTCCAGGGGAGTCAGATCTTACCAGAGAGACCCTGTCTTGAAAAAAAAAGAATTAAGTATAATACAACCCTTACCAAATAGTAAATGCCAAACTAGGACTATTTTGTACAAGCAAATAGCAGCTTTCTGCATTTAAACAAGTACAGAAATAAACAAAAGAAACTTAATTGTCTAAATCTGAATTAGCCATCAGCTTCTAATAGGTCTACAGAGTAAACAAAGGAATATGGAAAAGACAATAGTGAACTAACTAACTTACTAGTGATTCTCACTGGGCGGTCAGTACGGAAATCCTCTGTGTCTGGTTCATTAAGATCTTCCAGGAAGTTACATTCGGGATCATCATCATCATCTGCTTCATCTAGGGGTAAATATTTTAGATAGTTTTTTCAAACTCTACCTCCCCTGCAGACAGGGTCTCTCTATCTCTCAGTCTCTTCTGTGTGTGTGTGTGTGTGTGCACGTGCGTATGTGCACGCCTTTACCTGTAGGAACAAAATATTAAAGAAACTTCCAATGAGAATATATATATGTGTGTGTGTGTGTGTGTATATATATATATATATATATATATATATATATAAATTTTATTGAACTTATTTGTGTACACATGAGTGTGGAAGCCTTGGCATGTGTGGTTGTTTGAAAGAGAATGGCACTCAGGAGCTCATATTTTTGAAAGTTTGCTTCCCAGTTGATGCAACTGTTTTGGACAAAGATGAGGAACTGTGGCCTCACTGGAGCCAGCGTGTCACTGGGGGTAAGCTTTAAGGTTTCAAAAGCTCACCCCAGGCCCAGTCTCTCTCCCTCCAGTTTTCAGATAACATATAAGCTCTCAGCTACTAACCCTGTGCAATGACTACCTGATTCCTACCATTCTCTACCATGTGTCACAGGACTCACCATCTACAACTAAAAAAGATCCCAACTAAATACTTCCTTTTGGAAGTTGCCTTCATCATCAAGTCTCTTCAGAGCAACAGAGCAGTAATTAACATAGCTTGTATGTGGGACTCAGAGAACACCGTGTAGAAGACAAATCTCTTCCTCCACCAGGATGGAACTGGGCTGGGCAGCCATCACTTTTACACAGAGCCCTCTCATCTCATTGACCTGGGCGTTTTTCTTTCTGTTCTCTGAGACAGGGTCATATTAGGTTACCCAAGCCTAGAAGTTACTCTGTAGCCCTGACTAGCCTCAAGGTTAGGATCCTCCTACATAACCTCCCAAGTGTTAAAACCACAGGCATGTGCTGGGTGGTGGTGGTAGAAGTCTTAAATCCCAGCACTCGGGAGGCAGAGGTAGGTGGATCTCTGTGAGTCCATTCCAGCCTGGTCTACAGAACAAGTGTCAGGGTTGGCTCCAAAGCTACACAGAAAAACTGTCTTGAATAAACAAAACAGGTTGCAGTCACTTGTCAGGAATGCCCGCCTTCCCTGACTTTTAGGTAACATTTTCCCCAGTACTTTGCATGCATCACTTTCCACAGCTGACCTGTTGTCGTACCTACTTTGTCCTCTGAGCCAGGCTCCTCACCTCCAAACAACATTCAATGTCATCATCATCCAGCAAAACATGTGACTCACTTAAGCAGTCACACTCTGATTAGTTCATCTCACAAAAACAATCCTCTTTTCTTCTGCTTTTCAAATTTTATTATGTGTGGGGGTGCCAGCATAGCATGGCACACACACGTCAAGATCTGTGGACAATCTGCAGAAGACGGTTCTCTCCTTACACCATGTGTGTTCTGGAGATGGAACACAGGTAGCCAGGACTGTAACAAGTACCTTTACCCTGAGTCATCTCAATGGCTCCAAACAGATATTTTATGTAAAGGCTATTTGTACAATGATATTATAGTGTAAAAAGGAAGGAGACAAATCCCCAACAATTAGGAAAGGGTTCTGTGTTAGGTCCCCAAGGCCCAAATTGCACTGCTGATGGCAATATTTTAGAAACTAAAGCACTTCTCAGTAGCCCTGAACCAGCACTGAACTCTGCCCGAGACTGCCAGCAACCTCCTCTGTCAGACTGAGCCGGGGCTGCTCTAGAGGCTGAGCTGTGTCTCCCTCCCTCGTCATACACTCTACAAGCACAAGAAGCATTTGCACTGCCCTCTACCATCCTCAGAGCAGGCCAGGCAGCTTGTTAAGAGTCTACAGAGCTAGTTCCAGGACAGCCTCCAAAACAATACAGAGAAACCCTGTCTCGAAGAAAAAAAAAAAAGAAAAGAAAAGAAAAGAAAAATAAGAATGAGGGCTGAAGAGATGGCTCAGAGGTTAAGAGCACTGGCTGTTCTTCCAGAGAACCTGAGTTTGAATCCCAGCATCCACATGGTGGCTCACAGCCATCCATAATGAGATCTGGTGTCCTCTTCTGACCTGCAGGCATACATGTAGACAGAACACTGTATACAAAATAAATAAATTAAAAAAAAATATATATATATATATATAAGAATGAAAGTAAATGACAAAGGAAATAAAGTAGAGAAGGAATAGAGAGGTCTAACGGAAAAGAGAGGCCGCACTTCTGCCCACACTCAGGGTAGAGAGCAGAGGTGGGCACCAGGTCCCCATCTTAGACTCGATTTCCTCCTGCTTGCCCTCTCTCAGATCCCCTTGCTTGGGGACTGCAGCCAGGTCGATCTCCCCCGCTCCCCCATGAACGACCAAACAATCAGGAGCCTGAGAGAGAGTTGGTCCACTTCTGCCCACAATCAGGGCAGAGGGCAGAAAGTAGAGGCCAGAGAATATTGGATTTGCTTATACCCACCGAAAGGGAACCCTGGTTGCCTACACACCAGTTAAGGAAGCGACTCTTTCTACACCCACTGGAAGAAGTGATGGGGAAGAGGCAATGTAAGAACACACTCAGCAACAGAAAAACAAATATGGTGTAGAGATTCTACACCAGTAAGACCTGAACACCCCAATGCGAATGAAGCAGAAGGGAATAACCTTAAAAACAGCTTCATGAAAATGATAGAGGCCCTCAAAGAGGACGTGAGAAAATCCCTTAAAGAAATTGAAGAACAAACTAACCATAAAATGCAAGAAATAGAAGAAAAAACAAACCAAAAAATCCAACAAATGCAAGAAAGGGAAGAAAACACAAAGAAAAATTACAAGAAACAATTCAGACAGTGCAAGGGTTGAAAGCTGACATGGAGACAATAAAAAAAGCAGTCTGAAGGAATGCTGGAAATAGAACTGGGGAAACGGTCAGGTACAACAGATGCAAGCATAACCAACAGAATACAAGAGATGGAAGAGAGAATCTCAGGTGTTGAAGACACACTAGGAGAAATAGATTCATCAATCAAAGAAAATCTTAAGTCCAACAAATCCCTAACACAAAATATCCAGGAAATATGGGAAACTGTGAAAAGACCAAACTTAAGAATAATAGGTATAGAGCCGGGCGGTGGTGGCGCACGCCTTTAATCCCAGCACTCAGGAGGCAGAGGCAGGAGGATCTCTGTGAGTTCGAGACCAGCCTGGTCTACAAGAGCTAGTTCCAGGACAGCCTCCAAAGCCACAAAGAAACCCTGTCTCGAAAAACCAAAAAAAAAAAAAAAAAAAAAAAAAAAAAAGAATAATAGGTATAGCCGGGCGGCGGTGGTGGCGCACGCCTTTAATCCCAGCACTCGGGAGGCAGAGGCAGGCGGATCTCTGTGAGTTTGAGGCTAGGCTCGACCGACAGCCTCCAAAATAATACAGAGAAACCCTGTCTCGTAAAACCAAAAAAAAAAAAAAAAAAAAAAAAAAAAGACTAATAGGTATAGAAGAAGGTGAAGAAACCCAACTCAAAGGGACAGAAAACATATTCAACAAAAGCATAGAAGAAAACTTTCCCGGGGGCTGGAGAGATGGCTCAGCGGTTAAGAGCACTGACTGTTCTTCCAGAGGTCCTGAGTTCAATTCCCAGCAACCACATGGTGGCTCACAACCACCTTGAATGAGATCTGGTGCCCTCTGCTGGCATGCATGCAGAAGACTGTATACACAACACATAAATAAATAAAATATTAAAAAAAAAAAAAAAGAAAACTTTCCCAACCTAAGAAAGATATGCCAATGGAGGTACTAAGAAGCTTACAGAACACCAAATAGAGTGGATCACAAAAAAAAAAGTCCCCTCACCACATAATAATCAAGACCCCAAGCATACAGAATAAAGAAAGAATACTTAGAGAAGCTAAGGAAAAAGGTCAAATAACATACAAAGGCAAACCTATCAGAATCACACCTGACTTCTCCATAGAAACTCTGAAAGCCAGAAGGTCCTGGATAGAAGATATTCTATCAACTCTAAGAGACCACGGATGCCAGCCCAGACTACTATACCCAGCAAAGCTTTCAATCACTATAGATGGAGAAAACAAGATATTCCACGATAAAACCAGATTTAAACAATACATATCCACTAACCCAGCCCTACAGAAAGTTCTAGAAGGAAAATTCCAGTCCAAGGATGTTAGCTCCAACCAGAAAAACAGGAATAGATAATCCCACTTTACCAACACCCAAAAGAGAAAAGGGGTAGAAATCCACATATAATATAATTCCATCAAGAACAACAAATAAGAACAAATGAGAACGAGCAATCAAAGGTTATTAATATCCCTCAATACTAATGGTTTTAACTCACCCATAAAAAGGCACAGGCTGACAGAATGGATTCGAAGACAGAACCCAACCTTCTGCTGCATACAAGAAATAAACCTCAGCCTCAAAGACAGACATTACCTCAGAGTTAAGGGTTGGGAAAAGATTTTCCAATCAAATGATTCCAAGAAACAAGCAGGGGTAGCAATCCTAATATCTAACAAACTAGACTTTAAACTGAAATCAATCAAAAGAGATGAAGGCGGGCTGGACCGACAGCCTCCAAAACAATACAGAGAAACCCTGTCTCGTAAAACCAAAAAAAAAAAAAAAAAAAAAAAAAAGAGAGAGAGAGAGAGATGAAGGAGGTCATTTCATATTCATCACAGGAAAAATCCACCAAGAGGAAGTCTCGATTCTGATCATCTATGCCCCAAATACAAAGACATCCACATTCGTAAAAGAAACATTACTAAAACTCAAACCACACATAAAACCTCACACACTTATAGTGGGAGACTTCAACACCCCACTGTCACCACTAGACAGGACTACAAGACAGAAACTTAACAAAGAAACAAGGAACTAATAGAAGTTATGACCCAATTGGGTTTGACAGACATCTATAGAATATTCCATCCAAACACAAAAGAATATACCTTTTTCTCAGCGCCACATGGAAGCTACTCAAAAATTAACCACATAGTTGCTAACATAGTAAACCTCAACAGGTACAAAAAAATTAGAATAACTCCATGAATCTTATCAGACCACATGCTTTAAAGTTAGAGTTCAACAACAACACAAACTGCAGGAACCCTACAAACTCATGGAAACTGAATAATGCGCTATTGCACCACTCCTGGGTCAAAGAAGAAATAAAAAAAGAAATTAACCGGGCGTTGGTGGCGCACGCCTTTAATCCCAGCACTCGGGAGGCAGAGGCAGGCGGATCTCTGTGAGTTCGAGGCCAGCCTGGTCTACAGAGCTAGTTCCAGGACAGCCTCCAAAATAATACAGAGAAACCCTGTCTCAAAAAACCAAAAAAAAAAAAAAAAAAAAAAAAAAAAAAAGAAATTAAAGACTTCCTAGAATTCAATGAGAATGAAGACACAACAGATCCAAACTTATGGGACACTTTGAAAGCAGTGCTAAGAGGAAAGTTCATAGCACTAAGTGCCCACATGAAGAAACTGGAGAATAGTTACACTAGAGAACTAACAGCACAGATGAAAGCTCTAGAACACAAAGAAGCAAACTCACCCAGACTCCAGGAAATAATCAAATTGAGAGCTGAAATCAATAAAGCAGAAACTAGGAAAACAATACAAAGAATCAATGTAACAAAGAGTTGGTTCTTTGAGAAAATCAACAACATAGACAAACTTTTATCCAAACTCACCAAACGGCAGAATGTGAACATGCAAATTAACAAAACCAGAAATGAAAAGGGGGACATAACAACGGATACTGAGGAAATCCAGAGAATCATCAGGTCATACTTTGAATTCGAAAATTTAAAGGAAATGGACGACTTCCTGGATAGATATCATCTGCCAAAATTAAATCAAGAACAGATAAGCAATTTAAAAAGACCTATAACACCTAAGGAAACATCCTAGAACCTTTATCCAGTGACTGATGGAAGCAGAGATAGATACCCACAGCTAAACACTGAACTGACCCCCTGGAGCCCAGTGACAGAGATGGAGGAGTGATGAACAAAGGGGTCAAGACTGTGCTGGTGAAACCCACAAAGACAGCTGACTGTACGAGGGGGGAGCTCTTGAATCCCAGGCTGATGGCTAAGAAGCCAACAGGGGACTGATCCAAACTCCATTAATGTAGTGTCAGTGAGGAGGCCCCAGAAATCTCTGGGGCCTGGGGTAGTAGATCAGTGTTCACCATGGTGTATGAATGAGCTTTGGGAGCCCACTCCACATGGAGGGATGCTCTCTCAGCCTGGACACATGGGGAAGGGCGTAGGTCCTGCCCTGGATGAAATGACAGACTCTGGAGATCCCCCCAAGGTGGGCCTCATCCTCCCTGGGGGATGATGTGGGGATTGGGCTAGGGTGGGGGTGGGGGGGGCTGGTGGAGGGAGAAGGGAGGGGAGCTGGGATGGACATTTGAAGCATGCATGTTTCTAACTTAAATTTTAAAAAAAGTTAAATAAAGTATTTTTAAAAAGAAAAAGGAAAAGAGAGGCCCACCACTGCCTTGGCTCCACTGCAGGACCACTGCTGCCCCAGACTTGTGGCAGCTGACCTCAGCAAGAGTTTCCATTCCTTCAGTATCCTTTCAGTAAGGGATGAAACTGTATACAGTCAGTATTTATATTTACAGTCAGTAACATGCTTGCTGTACAAGCATGGAGAAGTGAATCAGAAACCCGAAATACAAGAAGCTGGCATGGAGGTACAAATGAAAACCCAGAGCCACAGAGGCAGCGACCAGACCATACTACACAGTGACCTCTGCCCTCCACAAACCTGTGGACACACAAATCGTGTACTTATGTACCATGAAAGGATCCGTACCAAAAAAAATAGTTACATCTAATTAAACGAATCCTAAAATGTTTGAGATTGTGACAAATATTTGGTGTTCTACAACAGTTCCACTCTTCTCTCACCAAGTCCAGGTCACAACCTCCATTCTTCTCTGGCCACTGGTCAACCATAAAAATTCTCCAACCTGTCTCAGTCATAAGAACCTCCTTGAGTTCTTGGGTCATATACTAGGAAAGTTGTGTTGTACAGAAGAGTCACCAACCTCAAAATACAAGCCTGGCCGAGTTTCCCCACCAGTCTTTTCCAATCATGCTAAACAACAGTTTGCATAAAAACAAATGGTATGGCTGACACTTGAGATCACTGGAAGGTATATGCTCAGTGAGAACATGGACGGACACCTTCTCCTTTATCTCCTTTGCATCTCTTCATCTACATGTCTGTAAATTCCTTCATACTAAACCACAGACAGATCCTCTGAGTTCTAGCTCAAATCAAACTAATTCCTCAAATGCAAGGAAGGGTCAGATGTAGAGATGGGGCAGCCTGAGGCTTGAGACTGGCATCTAAAGCAGAAGACATGGGAACTGAACCCTCAAAACTTGTAGGTCATCTGGAAGTATTAAACAGGAATTAAACAGGGTAAAGGAAGCCCAGCTGGTGGTCACTACTGCAGGATGGTTTGCTTGCTCAGAGAGATCCTCACTTCTTTCTGTTGCTTTAAGTTTTTAATGATATTATTCAGCAGTGTGTATGTGATAAAAGCACACACACACACACACACATACACACACGCACGCACACACACACAGACTCACATAGGACAAGTTAATGGATCCAGTTGTCTCCTTCCCCATGTGGGTTCTGGAGATTGCACTCAGTTTGGTGGTAGGTATCTTAACCTGCTAAATCTACTATTTGATGTCAGAGAAATCCTCTATGTTGATTCTGATGTGCAAACAAAGGAAATCAGAAACTTCCTTTTCTGTCATGATTATTTTTTTGTTTTTATTTTATTTTTTGTTCATTTGATTTTGTGGGGAAAAATGAAACCCAGCGGCCTCCTAAGTGCTAAGAATATGTTCTCCCAGTGACTCCTATAACCTCAGTCTCCACAGTCTCTTCCTTTTGTTTGAGACAAGTGTCACTATGATCCCCAGGATATCCCATTGTCTTACAGCACCATCATGACTCAACTTCTCAGACAGAGCTGAAATGACAAGTCTGAGCTAACATGCATAGTCAAGAATCCACTATCAAAGTTTCCAAATTGTAACAATATTTCCCACCTAAAAGATAAGAGTAGAACCGAGCAGTTCATAGCTGCAAACAAAACCACTCACCCTCGTTCTCCACATCATCATTTAAGAGGCCCCCCAGCCACACCTTCCAGTCCTCATCATCAGCTGTATTTGGGTCATACATATCCGGGGTGATATCTGGAGCCTGAAGTTCAGCTTCCAGTTGGCCCAGAGGAACATCTTTCAGGGGCATCTTAGACCGAGTTCTGAATGCAATGAGACTATCCTCCATGGGCTGGCCAAAGGAGAAAGAAAAAGCATCCAGTACATGAAAACAATGTTTCCAAATTCTCCAAACTCCACCCTCTGCAGCACACCCTACTTAAAAACCTAGTTCTCTCCTCAAGACAGTATAGGTTTCCTGTCTTTCCAGCTGGGTATGGTGGCCCATCCCCTTAATTACAGCATTTGGGAGGCAGACGCAGACAAACCTCTGCGAATTCACACCCAGGCTGGTCGACTTACTGAATTCCAAGTCAGCCAGGCCTATGCAGTGAGACCCTGCCTCAATAAACAAAAACAAACAAAACTATGATGATGGGGGCTTACTTTCTTCTGAATCTAGTTTTAAATATAGATTTGGTTGTCTGAATAATTTTTTATTTTTTTATTTTTGTTTTTGGTTTTTTTTTTTGTTTTTTTTTTTGTTTTTCGAGACAGGGTTTCTCTGTGGCTTTGGAGGCTGTCCTGGAACTCGCTTGGTAGTCCAGGCTGGTCTCGAACTCACAGAGATCCACCTGCCTCTGCCTCCCCAGTGCTGGGATTAAAGGCGTGCGCCACCAACGCCCGGCTTTTATTTTTTTAAATAAATATTTAACTTTCTCTACAGGGGAGAGTGTCAACACAGTTACCTACTACCACAAATTATGCACTCAAGCTTCCCAACTTTGGGGAAATCTCAGGGGTCAGCACATCTGGTGTGCAATGGACAAGCCTTGCCCTGGTTTACTTTTTTTTTTTTTAAAGATTTATCTTTTAGGGGCTGGAGAGACGGCACAGAGGCTAAGAACTGGCTGCTCTTCCATAGGCCCTGAGTTGAATTCCTAGAAACCACATAGTGGCTCACAACCATCTACAGTGGGATGTGATGCCTTCTTCTGGCACAAAAATGTACATGCAGATAGAGCAGTCATAAATAAAAACTTAGAAAAATATTACTTTTTTATTTTGAGAGCATGCGTACTACCCAGCATGCATGTATGTGCAACACATGTGTGTGCTATGCCACAGAAGAGGGGGCTGCATACCCTGGAACTGAGGTTACAGATGTGTAAACCACAAGTGGGTGTTGGGAACTGAACCTGGATCCTCTATGACAGCAGCCAGAATTCTTTTCCTTTTTTTTTTTTTTGGTTTCTCGAGACAGGGTTTCTCTCTATTGCTTTGGAGCCTATCCTGGCACTGGCTCTGTAGACCAGGCTGGCCTCGAACACACAGAGATCTGCCTGCCTCTGCCTCCTGAGTGCTGGGATTAAAGGCGTGCACCATCAACACCCGGTGAGATCTTTTTCCTACCACAAAAGACAACTACATGAAAATTTGAATGTAATCGCTCTGTCAGCGCCACCCCCTTATCTGAGAGTGAGAAATTACATAACCATGACTGAGTTTCTCAGCAATTCAGAGTCATGGTGCTCACCTGGAAAGAATCCATGCAGACAGGACTAGAGGCCAGCTCCTCATCTACCGCATTTAACTTCTCCATGAAAGCGCTATCCCTGGTCTGCTTTGGCTTTGGAGGAGGTGGGGGCCCCATGGGCACTACTTCAGCACTGATGTGCCTAACAGCAGGTGTGGTGACTTTCTCAGCCTGGTTAAAAAGGACATTGTGTTAGGAAGGAAGCAAGAGAGGGAAGGCGCTCTTCCCATGCAGTTAATGTGCCCATTTTCCTCTTTTCTAGATGGAGACAGGCGAATGGCCATTTCAACACATGCATCTAACTAGGTCTCATCCTACGTCAGCGAGAGAAACAGAAAACTACTTGGCTTTAAAGATAGTACTTAAAACATGGGTTGCACACATCTGACCTTAACGAGAACTCAGAAAACCTCTTTGACCAGGACTAGGTCTCAGTCGTCTCTTAGCTGTTCGTTCTCTGAGGGACTTTGGAAAGGTGACAGCCCACCATTACCACTGCTAATTCTGCCACTTATAAAAGAAGTCGCTGCTCGTGTATATGTCTAAAGTCTCCCCTGTCTGATGCTAGGTTACCTCTGACAACACGCCCATCTCCTCATCTGTCTCAGCCACTTCAGAAGACGCTCGCAGTCTGGATCTCTTCCCTCCACGTGGAGACGAAGCAGTGCTTTCAACATCACTTTCCAGTAAGCTCTAAAACAAACCCAGTGCACTCTCGTGTGTGCCCCAACCTCAGCCCGGAGCACGGAATGTCACAACAGAATAAATCACAAAGTACCAGTCATTGGGGATTCGGGTTGCCAGGATGGCACAGCACTTGACTAGGAGTACGCGGCCAAGCCTGACAACCTGACTTCGGCTCCCAAGATCCACATGGTGGAAGGTAAGAATCAACTCTTACCAGGATGTTCTCTGATCGCCACAAGCAAACTGTGGCATGCACACACAAACAACACACCCCACACACAGATGTGCACATACATACATACATTCAACATATAATGCATACAATAATTGTGTCATAGAGAGAACACATGTAGTAAATACAATAATAATATACATTTCAGAAAGAAAATGAATGTTAAATCACTTAATAACCTAAGGAGGGAAAGATGGCAGGGATCACATCCATAGCCGCATCTTCACTATAAACTGTCAAAGGGATTAATTAACAAAAACACAGAGGGAGAAAAAGAAGACCTCTTCTGAAAAGTGTTAATAACCAGCATGAAGGCAAACAGCTTCATCCCCAGGACTCAGGTAGCAGAGGCAGGAGGATCTCTATGAGTTTGAGGATAGCCTGGTCTACCCAGGGAACTCCAGGACAGCCAGGGACACACACTGAGACCTTTTCTCAAAACTAAAATAAAATAGGAAAATAATGATGAAGCTCAAAAACAAGAAAAATTATACCATAGTATGTAGACATGCATTTTTAGGTGACAGATCTATAAAAAAAAACAGCAAATCACTATCAAAACATCAAGGTGTGAGTGTGGGGGGGGGCGGTACAGTCCTCTGTTGGTTTCTAATACAGAGTCTAGGACATACTATGTATCTGAGGATAAACCTGAACTCCTGACCCTCCTACCTCCATTTCACAAGTCACCAAATAAGCCCATCCTTACCAAGCCCAATTCTTTCCTTCATTAACAATGAACACTCACTCACCTCTTCAGCAGTCTCGTCTTCCTCTTCCTCATCTGGCTGGTATTCCTCATCTGAGGAGTCATCTTCTTCTAGGTGAATATCCACAAACTGTGGAGGCTGCTTTAATAGAAACACAGAACAACGGGGTGGGGGAAGACGGCTCAGCAGCTGCAGGCACAAGCCCAGAGAAAAGTTCAATCTCAGGACTAGTATGGTAGAAGGAGAGAACCAATGCACGCTATGACAGGTGCTCCCACCCCTCACCACACAAAATGAGTAAGCATATATATAAATAATAACAAAGAGAAAGAAATGGAAGGGGGCTGGAGAATAGAAAGCTCAGAGACAGATGCATTCTCACCAGACATAAGGCTCTGGGTTCTGGCTGCAGCAGAGGCAGATGGGAAGGAGTGGGGAGGAAAGTACAAGTCACACACACTCACGTGCAGAATGTTCCGTACATTGACTGTTGTCAGATTGTGCTGCTTAGCACCAGCCTCTAAGGTACGATCCAGCACGTCATCCAGTTTTAGGTCATCCGCCATCGTCCCTCGTTCTTGACCCTTTCCATCTCGTTTCCTCTTGGTACCTGCGGTGATTTGAAAGAAAATGGCGCACAAAGGGAGTGGCAGCATTAGGAGGTGTGGCCGTGCATTAGGAGGTGTTGGAGGAAGTGTGTCACTGTGGAGATGGGCTTTAGGTCTCATATTTGCTCAAGATACCACACTGTGAACCCTGAGATTACATTATTTCCTAGGAAAACCAGCTTCTATTGGTGGTTTGGCTCAGCCCTAGAACATACCTTTAATCCAAGAGCTTTCTGCTTGAATACTGTAAACAGGATTAAATAAAATCAACCTTAGGTGAAAAGAAAACCAGTTCATAGAAAATAACCATAAAAAGTAAGAGGAACTCAGGAGGAGAGAGAACTCCATAGGAAGTAGGAGGGACATCTGGTCAGACAAGTTTTATTTAAGGTGACATAAAAGAAAGCTCTTTCTGGGAAAATGGAGGAGGAAACAGCTGTTTGCTTTCTCTGCCTCTCTGAGCTAGCAGGTTTTCACCCAAAAATATGGGTCCCAAGTCTTTATTGGTAAAATAGAACGATAGAGACTTAGTTAAAAACAACCCTGAGCCTCTGAAAATATAAGCCATCCATCAAATGTTTTCCTTGATAAGAGTTACTATGGTCACGGTGTCTCTTCCCAGGAATAGAAACTCTAATAAAAACAAGAATATCCTTTTTGTTTTAGTTGTTTTCCTTTTATCACTTTCTTCATTCTCTTGTCTTTCTGCAAATGAACCAAGAAGAAAGTCACTAAAATCTCCAAAACATCTTCTCTAGGAACTCCACCCCAAACCAACAGTGGAAGGAAACCAGCCTGCCTTCTGTCTGACTTGAAAACCACACACCATCACGTGGCAATGTGGCAATGGTGGTTTATTATGGAGCTGGTAATGGTACTACGTACGGTCCAGGCCATAATACCTAACGCTCAGCTGGGCGTGGTAGCAAACACCTTCAATGCCAGCACTAGAGGGACAGAGACAGGTGGATCTCTGAGATCAAAGCCAAGCTAATCTACACAAAGAAACCCAGCCTCACACACATACACAAAAGAAGAGGGAGGGAGGGAGGGAAGGAGGGAGGGAAGGGGGAGGGAAGGAAGGAAAGGAAAGTGTGAAAGTTTCAGTAGTTTTTTGTTGGTTGATTTTTGTTTTGTTTTGTTTTTACTGCTGGAGAGAAAGTTGTATGTGCTGGGAACTTAACTCTTATATTTTTAGTTGTGCGCCTAGACTTTAACAGCTGAGCCATCTCTCCAGCCCAAGTCTCAGCAGTTTTAATCTCAGCACTTTGGAGGCAGAGGCACACAGAAATCTGACTTGAAGCCTGCTTCGACTACACAGTGAGAATACGTCAAAGAAAACAAAACAAAAAATAAAGGCTCAGCAAAGGGTCTATGAACACTTAAAGGAGAAAGAAGACAAATAATCAAATAATCAGAATCAGGAATGAAAGAAAAGTATCAAAGACAGTCTGAGGTGCAGCCAGGTAAGAGAACTCCTGACAGAGCACTTACATGTTTGATGCTCTGGGTTCAATCCTAACACTGGGAAAAGAAAAGACTATTATGAATAATTTTGTGTCAGTAGACTTAAATAAATTTACTGAAATAGAAACATACATTGAGAGACATAAACAGTGAAAGTTCACTCAAAAAGAGCTCGATTGAGCTGTGGCTATAACTCAGATGGTAGGGTTTACGTAGCAGGCAGGAAGCACTGGCTTAGTTTGCCAGAACCACATAAAGCAAGGAATGGTGATACACATCTATAAACTCAACGCATGAGGTAGAAGCAGGGAATCATAAATACTGTCCCCAGCTGCAAACTAAGTACCAGTGCACCGAGTTCTATGACAACCCTTCTCAAAAAACCAACAGGCACAGGAGGTAAAGGGAGAAAACAGAGATCAACAGCAGAGCAAGTTGACACACTTGCGAGCCTGTAATGCCTAATGAGACTGTGTCTGTCTTTAACAAAGGCCCTTCCAGGTTCAGTAAGTAAAGGCACTTTCTGCCAAGCCTGACAACCTGAGTAGTCCAATCCCTGTAACCTACAAGTTGTCCACTGACATTCAGACATGGTGTGTTCACATACACATACACTCACATACACATACACACACACACACACACACACACACACACACACACACACACCACAAATATTTATTTAAACAAGAGGGAAAGAGAGAAGGGAGAAAAGAGAAAGATGGGTAAGTGCAGACATTTGTTACAAAGCCTAATGACCTCATAAATAAAAATGAAAAAAAAATTTTAAATGAAAGAGAAAAAAGATCATTGAAAACTCCTATTATCAGCTAGGCAGTGGTGAAAGGTACTATGTGGACCAGGCTGGTCTGAAAATCACAGAGATCTGCCTGACTCTGCCTCCTGAGTGCTCTGTGTTTTTTCTCCAAAGTTAGGTCTCATGTAACCCAGGCTGACCTCAAAGTCATTATCTAACCAAGGTGACCTTGATTTCGACCCCCATATGGAGAGCTTACAGGCATGGGTCACTATACCCACACCTGGCCTTTTCTTCAGACAGACAACAATTGTAATTGATATATTAGCCTCTGAGTGATTATTTCATAATCAGCTGTGGAGACCCGGCTGCCAGGAGAGAAACTGGCTCCACACCAGGCGAGATGGAGAAAAACTTCCACCTACACACTGGCTATTCCTGTCCTTTCCTTACCTGCCTCTAGTGGTGTGTTTTACACTTTCGGCACACAACTACATATGTAATTTGTCACAAGGATGACTTTTTCTTAAAATTTGAAATTCTGGTGAAGAAAATATAAATTCACGCCAGGCCTTTAGGTAAGGCTCAGCAAATTCAAAACAGACTAATTGCCATAGAGACAGACTGCTCAAGGACACGTCCCAGCAATTTACCAAGGTAACATATGAAATAACTTTAGTGACAGTTTTTCACTTGCAGAAAAGAACCTGGCAGATAACATTAAAGACAAAACCATGGCACTTGGGAGGCAGTGGCAGGCGGATCTCTGCGCGTTTGAGGCCGGGCTGGACCCACAGCCTCCAAAACAATACAGAGAAACCCTGTCTTGTAAAAAACAAAAAACAAAAAAACAAACATAACCCAGTCTCAACACTGACTTTCTGTATGTATTTCTATCCTTATTTGTATAAAATTCCAGGTTTAACTGACAGTTTATGCAGAATAGAAGAATATATTTTAAGATTTGGAGGGCTAGAGAGATGGCTCAGATGTTAAGAAAACTGGCTGCTGCTCTTCCAGAGGAATTCAGTTCCCAGCAACCACATGGTGGCTCATAACCATCTGCAATGAGATCTGGTGCCCTCGTCCAGCCTGCAAGCACACATGGAGTGCTGTATACATAAAACAAATCTTTAAAAAAAAGGATTTAGGATTCCTTAGGTCACTGTGTCATGCACTTTTAATTTTCTGCCTGCTGCTGGACATTGGTGGCTCACAACTTTAATCCCAGCACTCGGGAGGCAGAGGCAGGTGGATCTCTGTGAGTTCGAGGCCAGCCTGGTCTACAGAGAGAGCTCCAGGAAGCCTCCAAAACAATACAGAAACCCTGCCTCAAAACACCAAACAAAAACAAAAGCAAAACAAGAAATAACTCTCTGCCTGCTTTGCACACTATACATCAAGGAAGCTGGCCTCCCATGGTCTGTGTTATTCTGGTGCCCAAACCTGTAAAAAAAACAAAACTTGTAAAAAAAAAAAAAAAAAGAACCTGGCAACAAATAGAAGAGGATACAAACTTACAAACTTACAGAGAAAAACAAAATCTAGAGCCATTCATAAGGGTCACTGTGTTTAACGAGAAGAACAGTTCCAGGTGCAAGGCCACACCACAGAAATTTCCCTTCCAAACACACTTCTCTGTAAAGGCACCACAGACAGCAAGGACAAGCCAGGGGTGGCGGTGCACACCTTTGCTCCCAGCACTCCTGAGGCAGGTGGATCTCTGTGAGTTCAGGACCAGCCTGCCCTCCTTAGTGACTTCCAGGACAGCCAGAGCTATGTAGAGAGAAACTGACTCAAAAAGAGGAAAAGAAAACAACAAAATGGCACAGGTCACCTAACTGTCACTTATCTGAAAAGCTGGAGTCCAATGGGAAGAAGTACCTTCATGAGATATCTTGAGATGGGACCCACACTTAAACAGGCAACTCATTTACTTCTCATAAACAGCCCTTCTGTCATCTGAAGATAGGCGCATACAAGGTTTGGGAAAGCCTGCGTTCTGACTCAGCCCCTCCCCTGAGGCCAGGAGTGGGAGTTTTCACTTACAGCATCACAGTAGTACTCCAACAGTTAAGTGTGCAGCATCTACAATGCAGAGCTTCAGACCAGGGATGCTCAACCTAAACAGGCAAGAGAAAAGCACCCGAGACCATTCCCCCTTACCTCCTTCTGCCCTGACTTCTCCATCCGGCTCTCCTGAAGGAGCTTCCACTATGACAGCATGATGCCCTTGGTCTTTTCTGGTAACCAGCCCAGGTGGGAAGACAATTTTCTTCCCTTTCCTTGAGGCCGTGGCCTCGAGTCTCTCTTTATCGATGTGTATAGTCAGGGAATGAGAAGACTCCAAGGAAGGAAGGGTGATTTCCTGAGAGATGGCTACATCAACAGCCTGCAAAACCGGTAAGTTTCCATGCTGGGTGAGCATCTTAGGGTGTAGAGACGGATCCTCCACGCTGAGCTGATTCTCTATGTCACGAGTGGAGTCCACCTCAGGGCACACTGCACTCTCATGATGCTGGCCCCAGGACAGTGACTCTGGCCCAAAGTCTTTAAGCTGCACTGATTCCGGCTTCACAGCTGACTCTAAGTCTAACTCATCTCCTTCCTGGTCATCCTGCTGGTGCACAGACTCTGTCACTGTAGCTCTTCTCTTTTTACAGGACAACATTGTACAAGTCCCACTTCTGGTCCATCCTAAAAGGATACAGGGCAAGCCTTGGTCAACTCAGTAGTGGTAACAGTAATAACAGAGTGGGAGTGTGGGGTGTGGGGGGGGTAAACTCCTTCAATCCCAGCACTGAGGAAAAGGAGGAGGCCTATCTGTGACTTCAAGGACAGCCTGGTCTACAGAGCTAGTTCCAGGACAGCTTCAAACCCTGTGGTGGAGTGGGGGAGTAGCAGTAATAACATTTGATCAGTTTTCATCTCATGATCCCCAAGCTCAATCATCCACGTAGGATTTGACACCAAATGCCTAGGACTTTTAGCACAGGATGAGACCCTACCTCAAATCAAATTCCATACTGAATGTTATGGTACCTTGACTAAGTGTTACCTTAATCTCATAAGTTTCTGCTACCTCAGGCTTCCTGAGATGGTACAGACCTCTCTTCCCAGCCTAGGAAAACAGGCAGGTGCATCTCTGTGACTTCACAGCATAACTGGTCCACACAATAAGTTCTAGGCCAGCCTGGAACTGCCACTTGCACTCACATCCAAATGACAACAGACAAGTAATCCAAAATTTTTAAAGTAACTCTTACAACATCATATTTCACTTTTGTAATCTCTGCTCCTTCATTCTCAAAGGCTAGGATATGTACTCAGTTGAGAAAGGGGAATCCTTAACTGCTGTCTCCAGAATCCAGCACGATGTGGATATGTAGGCAGTCACTGAGAGAGGAACTAATGAAAGTGGGCTTGAACAATGCTGCATTTGGACCAAGCACTGAGCGCTTACATAGGGACTGGAGGGTGACTTCTAGCTTGCTATCTAACTCGGGAAGATTTCAAACTTGTGATCCTGTAGCCTCCGCGGTGTTTATACTGAATTCCATTTTATGAATTAGGAACCCAAAGCCTTTTATGCATGTAAGGCAAGCACTCCAGCACCTGAGTACATCCCCGGCCTCTGGCTGCACCCTTCTTGACAAAAACACTTTGATAACGAGGTCCAAGAACAGAGAGTCACCGACAACCTTCAAGTCTGAAAGACCGCTCAAACGGTACTAGAGGAAACTTACTGCTGGCACGCTTAAAAACAAAATTCCCTCCGACTCCAGGGTTTGATCTATAAAGCTAAGCTTAAGCCTCCGCAATTCCCGTTCTCTAGCCCGGTAAGGGAGGCCCTCACCGTAACAACCCAGGTTCTTGTCTCGGTAAAGCTTAATAACCTAGAGAAGATCCGTGGATCCTGTCATGGAGGGTATGAGTGAGGAGGGGAGTGGGAATCACCTAGGCGATTCCTTTATTTCACAGATGACTTGACGGGGTTCAGGGAGGGGGACCGCAGAAAGAGTGCGGGAGAGGGGAGCAGCCAGGCGCTGCTCTGGCGAAACTGTGCGGGGATCGCGCCAAGGGCTTCGAACAACAGCATCTGTAAGAGTCCGCTCCTTGGAGACCAGGAGAGGTCAACCAAGGGAATGAACGCCAATCCGCCAGCCGCACTGCACCCCTGGGGGGTTGGCTGCGGGAAGAAATTCCAGAGGGGTCCTAGCTGCGCTCTCCTCGGCGCTCAACACTGGCCCAAGCCCGCACCACCATTCACACCCCGGCTACCCAACCCCTTCACGCATCGCGCACCCAGCCTCGGAGCAGACGCCCCTCATCCTGGGCCGCCACCGCCCCGGAGTCCCACGTCTAACGGGCCTCTTCCCGCCCCACCGCACACAACCAAGTACCCTCGGACGCCGGCCTGATCCCGCGGAAACCCCGCTTCGGCACCACCGGAAGTAAGGCAACGACACTGCCTGACGTGCGCGCCCCCGAGTCGCGTACACTGGACGTCAAGGAGCATGCGCGCAGCGATAAGCGCCATCTTCCTTTAGGGCCTCCTGAAGCCACAGGGCTAAGACGTCAGTTAAGGGAAAAAGGAACAGTGCTTTCCAACAGATGGATGGCTGGTAAACAGATGATGATAAGTAGGCAGGCAGGCAGGTAGGTAATACACGCTTAGCTTGGTAAAGCGTTTACCTTGAATGCTGGAAACTCTCGAGTTTGAATCCCAAAGCTAAATAAACCGAGTTTGGTGATGCACGCCTCTAATGGCAGCACTTCGGGCGTGGGAACAGAACGATCAAGACTTCGAAGCCATTCTCAACACAAATCCCGCTGTCTTGCCTATAAATAAATACTTGAAAGGCACTTCCCTGCCCACGCCTTTAATCCCAGCACTCAGGAGGAAGATGCATGCACATCTCAAGAGTGCTGGGCCTGCCGGGCTGTGGTGGTGCACACCTTTATTCCCAGCACTAGGGAGGCAGAGGCAGGAGGGTCTTTATGAGTTCGAGACCAGCCTGGTCTATAAGAGCTAGTTCCAGGACAGTCTCCAAAGCCACAGAGACACCCTGTCTCAAAAGCGAGAGAGAGAGAGAGAGAGAGAGAGAGAGAGAGAGAGAGAGAGAGAGAGAGAGAGAGACGGAGAGACGGAGAGAGCAGCCTGGTCTACAGGGGAAGTTGAGGACAAAGAGGAATACGCAGATAAACCCTGTCTCAATAGAGAACTGACCGGAGGGAGGAAGAGAAAAAAGAAAGAAAGACACTTCCTAGCTTTCTCTAACTAAACATCCAACTCAAAACTGGGGGTTGGGAATCCATAGTTTAAGTTGACAACTAATCACCCTATCCACAAAAAACCTGGAATATAGGAAGAAGAGGAGAATTCCTAAAAGTCAGAAAGATGCTCTAGACACAAAAACCAAAGGCAGTCTAATGGCAGTTATCACACCTACAAAATATTATTCATTGTGCAAAATATTCTCGCATTGCCTCTAGGTGATTTCATCTCCTGAGAATTCCTGTGGGCCAATGGATATTATTATCACTTTTTTCTTTATTAGAAACAACCTTGTTTTCCATGTCAATCCAATTCCCTCTCCCTGCCCTCCTCCGCTGCCTCCCACTTACCCCCATCCCATCCCCTTCGTGCTCCCCAGGGAGGGTGAGACCTTCCATGGGAGATCTTCAAAGTCTGTCATATCATTTGGAGCAGGGCCTAGGCCCTCCCGGTGCGTCTAGGCTGAGAGAGCATCCCTCTATGTGGAATGGGTTCCCAAAGTCCATTCTTACACTTGGGATAAATACTGATCCACTACCAGAGGCCTCGTTCAGGGGGTCTGGTTCAGTCCTATGCTGGTTTCCCAATTATCAGTCTGGGGTCCATGAGCTCCCCCTTGCTCAGGTCAGCTGTTTCTGTGGGTTCCTGCAGTCTGGTCTTGACCCCTTTGTTCATCACTTGTCCCTCTCTGCAACTGGATTCCAGGAGTTTGGCTCAGTGTTTAGCTGTGGGTGTGGCTTCTGCTTCCATCAGCTACTGGATGAACGATTGCACTTCACTCTTTTTTCTTTCTTTCTTTTTTTTTTCAGTTGACTGATTCTGGCCCTGCTGAGTAGAGGAGCTCACGAAAGTACCCAGATATCATTAGAAGTCAGGTATCTGGTATTGGGATCCCAGATTCTCATGCATTGACCCAGTACACAGTAAAGTGCCTCGTGTTTGGGGGATATACGTGGTTTTTTTGTTTTGTTTTATTGCTTTTGTTTGTTTTTATTTTGGCTTTGTTTAGATTTATTTGGGTTTTTGCCGAGTGCTGGGATTGAAAGCAAACCGCCCAGTGGATGTTAGGTCTTTTGTTATTGTTGTGCTACTTTGAGACAGGATGCTGCTATAAGCCCCAGACTCAGCATCAAACTGCTTCTGCCCAGGATTGATCTTTAATCGGCCTTTGAAGTTTAGTTGACATAATTGCCTTTATTGTTTCAGAGATGCACATAACAATAACAATCTATAGTGAAACAATAGAATTTTGTTCTTCACAACTTCTGCAATTCAGTAGGTTCGGCTTCCATCTGTATAAACCCGGGGAACTAGAGTCACAGCTGCAGAAGACGCTAAAGCGATCGTCTTCTTGCCTTTCTGTATTTGGAGAATTAGCCAAGGCTGCCCTTGACTCTCCTACCTCACCCACTCGAGTGCTACAGTCACGGGAATATGCGACTGAAGAAGCACAACACCTACACTTCTTACTGGGCTTTGAAATTCAAGCCCCAACGCCCACAGCCTGTGAGTGGGCGGAGCCTCATCCTGAGGAAAACTCGGCGGTGGGAGGGGTCTCCTCTGGAAGAGTTTCCGGAGCCTTTCGGGCAGAGGCGGAGTCTTCTGCCGAGGGCCCTTCGGAAAGAGGCGGAGCTTAACTCGCATCAGGACCAGTCCGACTGCACCTGCATCCTTAGCTCAGAGCATCCCAGGAGCATCTAAGAGGAAAGCGCAGCTAGCGACCAGGGATCCGACTGTCGCAGGGACAGTCTGCCAGGCACCTCCCCTCCCCTGATCTGGAGGTCTACAGCTGCGGCCTCGGTACTGACCGAGATTCCCAAAGTTGTCTGACCTCTGCAAAAGTGTGGCTACCAACAGCCTCTGGTTACAACATGGCTGAGATCACAAATATACGCCCCAGCTTCGGTAAGTAGAGTCTGACAAACTAATTTTGAGGCCATCGGTGCCGGCGCAAAGCCAGGTAGCTGAGGAACGGGCCGGGAGTTAAGTCCAGCTGGGAGCCTCTAATTGCCTGCCAGCCCTGCTGGAATAGGGCCTGAGGTGGTGAGTGACTCAGAAGGCAGGCAGTGGACAGCGCCTGGGTTTCAGCTTTGGGCTGCAGGGGTGGGAAGGCCACAGTGCCTCCGAGGGTAGGCAAGTCTGGGATGCTAAAACCTTGGCCGTAAACCCTTGGTGAGGCACTGTCAGCACGGCTGGAGGTGAGAAATGGCTAGCATGCTGGAGGATGTGAACCCCTCCTTCTGGAGGAAGAGAGGTGGGGTAGGCCGAGCCCTCCCTCTTGGGGCACGCAGGGCGGTGCCCCTTCCTCCCCCTCCTACTTCTGAGGGCTGCAGGAGAGGGAAGCGGCAAGGGGGATGGGGCCTCAAGATGGCAGCGTGGAGACTATGGGCTGTGTGGCTGGCATCCAAGGGAGGCGGAGGCCTCCAAGGAAAGAACGGTGCAGGGGTGGGGAGCAAAAGGGAAGCCGCTCCTTAAGCCGGTCAGAGGGTTGCTAGGGCTGGGGTGAAACGCTCGCCGTGCAAGCTTCCTTCTGCACAGTAATGGTGAGGTCCTTCCCGGTGTTACCAAATGGCGCTTGGCGCCGCCGGGTGGAGAGATGACGTGATGTCTATTTCTGAGACTCCTGGCAGTGCCTAGGCGCTTCTTCCGGGGCCTTTGTTCCCTGTTTCCCTGCTCTGGCTTTTTAAAAAGGGGGACTCACCCGAGCTGGTGCCTGCGGGGGCAGCATTCCTGGCTTGGGGGTGGGGCGTGAGAGGCCCAGCTTTGGGGAGGCCGCTTTGTGTACCACAGAAAGCATTACGTCATCTCGCAGTGGCTGGTGCACGACCTAACCCTCAGGGCTCCAATAGCAGTTTTACACTCCCTAGGGCAGAAAGTGCAGTGGTAAAGAAGGCAAGAGAGCCTTGGCCAATAGTTTCCTCTTGGGAAACTCCTCCATAGCGAACTTCTCATGCAGGGCTTCCTGACCACATAAATAAGTAAAATTGCGCCGTGATTGGGGTAATCAAGTGAGAGTTGCTGCAAGTTAGAACCTTGCTAATCCTTAATAGAATATATTTTTTAGACAATCCCCATGTGAGCATTAAGTTCCAGAATTTAGGGTGGAGACACAGCCAGCTTTAAAAAATGTCCATTCTCACTCCGAAGGAAGAGGTATAAAGAATAGAACAGAACCCAATAGGCTGTATTCTCTCAACATAGTAAGACATCAGATCAGAGAAAGCATCCAGACAATGAACCCTCACACCCCTCAGTGCTTGTTCCGGTTTGACCCCAAGGGTGAATCTCATTGTATTTCTTCTGCTTTGTCCTCTGTGGCTATCCTTTGAGTCCTGAGTTCCCCAAAGTGAAACCTGTTCTGTGATCACATGTGAAACTCAAGATTTTCTCCACATCTTTTACTTCTCACACCTTCTTCCAGAAGAGTCCTTTCTCTAAGGGCAATTCTAGAGCCCTTTGCAAGTAGATGAGACACTGCCCAGCCTTGTGCTTTCCTTTAGTGGAGACACTAATGGAAATTGGGGCCTGGAGGTGTATTCCTCATTTTATATACTGAATTTTCTTTAGTCTTAGCATGTCTTCCAGTGTAAGTATTTTTACGTGCACTCACCAGACCAGGAGAATGAACCTTGAAATACAATAAAGTCCAAATGAACTAGGCATGGTAGCACTAGGGTTTCAACCAGTGTCTGACTGCCGACCTACCTAGTCATTCTGATTCTGCTGTAGGACATTGGTCTATTTAGAGTGAAAGGCTGTGTTTTGGCATACACTCAGTCAGTAATGAGGTCTGAGACTGAAGGAATAGCTCAGAGGAAGAATGTACACCTGACTGGTGCAAAGGTTCTTGGCAGGACCACCAGCCCTGAAAAGCAAATGCAACACTGGCTTGGGGATGTGTGCATGCCCAGCCTAGGAGACCCAGTTCAAAGCCAGCTTAGCGCCACTTCCTGAGTTCTAAGCCAGACAGTGCCACATAATGAGGAATGAGGCTGGTCTCTAGAAACAAGGCATCCAGGAATGGTGGCACAAAACATTTTTCCCCAGCACTTGGGAGACTGGGGTAGAATTGTTGTGAGTTCAAAGTCAGCCTGGGATATATATTGAGTTCCAGTCAGCCTGGACTAGGGAGGGAAACTTTGCCTTAAAACAATAAAACAAGGGCGGGCATTGGTGGTACATGACTTTAATCCCAGCACTTGGGGGGCAGAGACAGGCGGGTCTCTGTGAGTTCGAGGCCAGCCTGGTCTGCTGAGTGAATTCCAGGAAACCTACAGAGAATCCCTATCTCAAAAAAAACCCAATAAATGAATAAATAAATAAATCATAACAAAAAGTGACCCAGACATGCTGGCTCACACAGTAATCCTAGCACTGGGAAGGAAGGGTTATAGGAAATCAGAATTACAAGCCAGGGTCAGCAAAATGGAACAGTATATCAAATGCTTTGGTTCAAACCTGACACTGAATTCTAACTTTAGATCCTACATAAAGATGAAAGGAGAGAAAAGACTCCACAAAGTTGTCTTTTGCCTCCACACAAACACTGTTGTCATGTCACATACAAACATACACATACCATGTGCACATAAAGTAATTTGTTTTAATTTTAAAAACAAAGAATTCAAAGCCAGTTTGAAGATAGCCTGGGTTACAAGAAACTGTCTCAAAAAGAGTCAAACAACAAAATAAAAATGCCCAGGGGGCTAAAGAGTTAGATAAGCAGTTACGAGCACTTTTGCTCTTTCAAGGAACTCAGGTTTCATTCCCAGCACCCACAGGCAGGTTCACAACTATTATAAATCAAGTCCCAAGAAATCCAGTGCCCCTTCTGAGTTTCACAGGCATCAGGCCCACACATTGTACAATGCATACATGCAAGCAAATCACTCATGCATAAATAAGTATGAAATGAAATGAAATTTAAATATCCTTAAAGAAAAAAAAAACTAACATGAGGCAGGCACCTGAATAATCCACAGACAGGTTACCTGCCTTCCTTCCCTCCTCAGTCCTCCTGAAGGGTTACATTACCTGTCTTTTCTCTTTTCCACCTATCTGCATTTCTCAACAAAAACTGATGCATTGTACGTAGCAGTTGGTTCCCTCCATGACATCACAGAGTAGAGCCAAAGATCTGTGCAGATGTCTCACAGTCTTGACTTTTAGCCTTCCTTTTCAAGTCACTCTAAAAGATGCCTACCTAGGGCCAGCAAGATAGCTCAGCAGGTGGAAAGCACTTGTGCCTTATGACCTGAGACTCATCTGCCCACACGTGGTGGGAGGGAGGACAGACTCCTGGAAGTTACCCTCTGCCCTACATGTGCATGCTGTCACACACGTTGTACACATATGCTTTCCTATGCAAGATGTGGTGGCTCACACCTATCATCCCAGCACTTGGGAGACAAGGACAGCAGGCCTGCCTTGACATTTCTCCTCTTCTCACAATCAGTGTTCAGCTTCACAAACAGTAGCAAATGATGTGCAAAACAGCATCTACTGGCAAGTGTAGAAGCATGTCTTCATATTGCAGCCATTCTGATTGACAATCACATTTATTAGCTTTTATTAAATGTCTGATACTCAGATTTGAGAATGACAGGATGAGACTCTTACCTCCATTCTTTGAAACTTCTCCCTGAGCGCTCTTCCCTTACTGAGTGATGTAAGGCTAAAAGCTAGTGTGGTCCTGGGCATAGTCATCAGATTTATTATGATAATAATGGCCTTTCTTCCGACCTGATTATTTTAAAGTGAAAACTCTTCATTTCTTATTGTTTCCCAGCTTTCGTTGAGCCATGAATGTTGAGTTAGAAAGAATTTCAGAGATCAGGCATAATGACATGCTGAAGAGGTACAGACAAGCAAATCCTTCTGAACTCAAGGTCAGCCTGGTCTATGCAGAAACTTCTAGGCCTGTCAGAGATACAGGGTGAGACAGTGTTTAAAAAAAAAAAAAGAGAAAGAGCCAGGCATTGGTGGCAATCGCCTTTAATCCCAGCACTCGGGAGGCAGAGGCAAGCGGATCTCTGTGAGTTCGAAGCCAGCCTGGTCTACAGAGCAAGTTCCAGGACAGGTTCCAAAACAATACAGAGAAACCTGTCTCAAAAAACCTTTAAAAAGAAGGCTCAGTTGTTAGGCACTGCAATGCATGGTCTTCCAGAATCTGGAATCCAGTTCCCAGTATCCACAAGCATTCACAGCCCCAGTCCTAAGGGATCCGTCACCCTCACATGCATCAAAATATTAATACACATAAGGTAAAAGCAAATGATTAAAAAGAAAAGATTTCAAGGACATGTGGTCCAATTTCGGGTGGGAAATTTCCTTTTATTATGTATTTGTTTATTTATTTACTTAGGATTTTTTTGGTGTTTGTAACAGAATCTGACTATGGAACTCAGGCTGACTTTTTACATTTCTTTTTAAATCTTATTCATTTAACTGGGGAGGGGACACTCCATATCTTTAATCCTACCTTTTCAAGGCAGAGATTGGGGATTCTCTTTGAGTTTGAGGCCAGCCTTGTCTTCATAGTGAATTCCAGGACAGTCATAGTTATAACTATGTAATAAGATTCTGCTGAAGAAAAAAAAAGGTTTAGATTTTATTCATTTTTATTTCGTGTATATGGGCATTTTACCTGCAAGTATGTCTGTGTAGCCATACATGCCCATGAGGAAAGTGCACCAGATCCCCAGCAACTGCAGTCACAGAGTCGTTAGTTATGACGTGGATGCTAGGAATGGAATCCTAGTCCTCTGGATTCTGGTGGGAGGCAGGTCACAAGTCCTGTCAGTGACATTTGCCAGTATGTAGTCCTGGGAAGAGGAGCTTTGAATATAAACAAGAGGTGTCACTTGTCTTATTCAATTATTCACTGAGTTCTTTGGTTCAAATACTAAAATGTCTGTACCATAATGCTTTGCAGGGGTCTAATAAATACACATTTCATTGTTGTCAGTGCTGCACAGGATGTTGTTATGACCAGTGCATACCTAATTACTCCACCTCCTGCGAGAGGTAGACTTTGTGTTTACAATGTAAACCAGCATTAACCTAATATTGACCAAGTCATCTTTGTCCAAACTTGCCAAGTAAAAGTATTGTCTATAGGTAGACTTTTAAGTCTCCATAAGGTTTTGTATTTTTCTGTGATGTCTGCAATCATATTGCTTTTATATCTTCTTTTTCTAAACTGTAAAAGGTTACTAAAGCGAACAAAGTGGATTAGGTCTCTCTTCTGGTTTTGATAAAAGATTTTTTTTTTTGGTTTTTTGAGACAGGGTTTCTCTGTGGCTTTGGAGGCTGTCCTGGAACTCACTTGGTAGACCAGGCTGGTCTCGAACTCACAGAGATCCACCTGCCTCTGCCTCCCGAGTGCTGGGATTAAAGGCGTGTGCCATCAACACCCGGCTTGATAAAATATTTATTTTGGCTGATGGTTTCAGAGAACACAGTCATTTGCTGACTGGCCCATGTCTGTGGCCCATGTTGGAGCAGGTCAGCATAATGTAGTATTAACTGGACCAAAACTGTTGGCATCACGGCAGCTGTGAAGCTTAGGCAGCTAGAGAAGACAGCTCTGTTGTTACTAAGCATACACACACACACACACACACACACACACACACGCACGCACGCACGCACGCACGCACACACGCGCACACACACACACACACGCACGCACACACACACACACGCGCACACACACACACACACACACGCACGCACGCACGCACACACACGCACGCGCGCACACACACGCACGCACGCACGCACGCACGCACGCACGCACGCGCGCACACACACACACACACACACACACAGAGGTCAGGGGAATAACCACAATGAAGGAAAACAAAGAAGGCGATGACTTTTCGTTTCTTTGGGGCAGGCAGGCAGGCGCTTCTCT